AAATTTGAACAGATCGTCAGAGGGATGAATTTGGTGAGTCAGAGCACCTGCTGGCAGCGGGAGATGAGCTGATGGAGCCAACTCCTGCCTCGGCCTGGCCTCACTCTCCCATTTCTGCAGGTGCTGGATGTCCCACTGACTGTGAAGATACGGACAGGTGTGCAAGAAAAGATTAATGTGGCTCATAAAATAATCCCCAAGATCCGGGAGTGGGGAGCATCCATGGTCACGGTACAGGGATACTTGTTGTGGCATGAGATTGTTGGCTGATATCTGGGGAACTGCTTCCATGTCAGCCTAAAGCATGATGTGGAGGTGACCTTACCCTTCCTTACAGCTGAGTAGCTCTTTCAAACACCTTTGACCAGCTGCATACTACCTTTTACTGTTCTCTGCTGATAACAGACAAATTCAGATGCAGAGAGAATTCTCCTCGCTGCTCTCGAGCCTTGTATCCATTATGAAGGGAGATGGTTCCTGCAGTGCTCTGGAACAGAGGTTTCAGTCAAATAAACCTCAAATAGCAGGGCTGGGGAAGCGATAGGACCATCTCATTTGCATGGGGCTGTGTAGTTCCTGCCCACAGAGATATTTCCTTTTGCTGTGAACAGTCACTTCTTGCCCTGGCTTCCAAATAGCTGAAACATTCCTCAGAAAGCACTCAGCCCTTTCTCAGCTCTGCTAACCACTTCCGCAGCCCGATCTGTTAGCAACTGGTTGGGCTGTAAATCCATGGGGATCCCTTACCCCAGCCCGGTGTCAGTGCCTTTGCTGAACCGCGTTCCTCCAGCACTCCCGTTCTGCCCTGCCTCCTCCGGGGCATTCGCTGAGGTCTCACTGCAACTTTTTTCCCCAGCTTCACGGCCGATCCAGGGAACAGCGGTACACGAAGGGTGCTGACTGGGACTACATAGCAGAATGTGCTAAAATAGCAAACCCCATGCCTCTTTTTGGTAGGTGTTTCTGTTTGGTCACGTGGACTGAAAGTGCTGCACGTTTGATTTGAAATACCTTTAAAAAAGAAAAATCACTCTCCCAAGGACATTCGGCCTGGGGGAAGGGTTAGAGTATCCCTAGTGCTGCTGCTGAGGCAGTGGAGTGACCAGCGGCTCCTGTTCCACCCAGATCTGCCCGTGTGCTTGGGGTCAGGCGTGACAAGCACTGAGTGGAGTAGGAGAAGGGAGAGGCAGGACATGAAACACTTTGCTTTTAGCAGATGCTTTCTCTCAGGCACTGTGGCACAGACAGTCCCAGCTAAACCTTCAGGGTAGGAGCTGAGAGTGGAGAAGAGAGGAGAAGGCTCTTCTTTTCCTTGTAAGAGAAACATTAATCAGAAACATCCCTGAGAGTCTAAACATGAGCCCCAGAGCCTCTTTGGACCATCTGGCTCTTGGACCCTGTGTCCATTTTGAATTTTGTCCCATGCCTGGATTAACTCATTTTGACTTGCCCTCATGTATCACTTTGACCTCTGGCTTCTCCCTTCCTTCTGGACAGGAAACGGTGATATTTTATCTTATGAAGATGCTAATCGAGCCATGCAGATGGGCGTTTCGGGAGTTATGATTGCAAGGCAAGTGCCTGTATGTCTCCCTTGCTTCTGAGCTTTGTCAGTGTAAAAGTAAAAAAGGAATTTTAAAATGCCTAAACAAACTCAAAACACATGAAGTTTCCTCTTGGTGAAATTACTCTTTGAAACTTGGTAAAATCAGTTTGTGTCTGTGGGACTTAACAGCAGCGTCCTATTGAAATTAGAAAAAAAATGTAAAGCCACATTAGTTGGCAAATAAGTGCTGGAAAGTCTCTTAAATTAGTTGGCATCTTCAGAAGCATCAGTCGTGCGAATAACGGTGCACATTTTTTTTGGCTACAGAGGGGCACTCATCAAACCGTGGCTTTTCACTGAAATTAAGGAACAGAGACACTGGGATATCTCCTCCAGTGAGAGATTTGATATCCTCAAAGACTTCACCAACTATGGCCTTGAGCACTGGGGGTCAGATACTCAGGGAGTGGAGAAGACCAGGAAGTTCCTGCTGGAATGGCTCTCGTTCCTGTGCAGGTAATTCTCCCCAGCTGAGAGGATCTTTAGCACACTAAGCCTGTATCGTTTGAACAACAGCAGGTGCTGCTATTACATTTCATTACAGGTACATTCCAGTTGGCTTATTAGAACATCTACCTCAGAAAATCAATGAGCGGCCACCTTACTACATGGGGAGAGACTATCTGGAGACACTGATGGCAAGCCAAAACGTGGATGATTGGATTAAAATAAGGTAATAAAGCATTGAACTTCATTTAAATTGCTAGGAAGGGACATTGCAGAGCCTCACAAAAATCACTGTGCCCGCAGGCATCCTCCAAAGAGGGGGTCATGACTCCTTCCCATCAGTGTAAGGGGTTGTAAGAAAGCAGCAAGGGTTAACCAGTACTTTGAGGTTTTAACTGAGTTTGGAGTTGCCATAAAGAGCTCTCTCAATATCCGTATCTGCTTCAGCAATCATCCAGTACCCGCTGCAAGTCTAGAATAGCTGACCTGTCTCGTGACACACTGTTCATCCCAGGACAGTCGCAGGAACCAACAGAGGAGAGGGCAGCGATGGGCTTTCGGCATCGGACAGTCCCACCCTGCCAGGCCCATACAGATGCCAAGCAGGGAGGCAGTCCCTATCCCCAAGTTAGGAGAGCTTTTTCCCCACTTTTCATTATCTGATTTCTGAGTTCATGCAACAAAGTGCAGGAAGCTGGTTTTCCCCACATCTACAAGTCCTCAGGCACTGGCTTGAAATAATTTCGCAAGCTCAAAGCCAGTGAAAATAAGAGCTGGAGCAGCCAGATGCTATTTCCCATCTCATGGAAACAGAGATTAGCAAAAATAGAGCATGGCTACAGCCTTCTCGGGTTTTGCTAATCCTCGTCCATTTTGTTAGTGCTGGGAACAGCTGCCTAAAACCACGTTACAAATACATCAAGTTTTGATCAGAATTTTTAAATGCCATTTTTCAAGCAGAATCTCTCTGCATTAGGCCGCACAAAGCTTTGTAACCTGTGGTCTTTGCAGTGCCATGTAATAGACATTTGTAGCCATAAGAACTCAAAATTTTAAAGCAGTTTAGGTTTATTCATTAAAGCTCATTTTAAGGAGATGCTAACCAGAAGCAGGGTTCTCTCTGTTTCTGCTTTTGTGCTGTAGATTTGGGCTCTTGCTGTGCAATTCTTTGCCCTGCTGAGATACTCTCTCTCTGACATGTCTTATGGAAAGTTTTAGTGATGCTATATTGAACCAGCATCCAGGAAATAAGTTAAACCTCCTTGACTATAAAGAAAATTACTCTGCACTGAAAATACAATGTGTGTTCCAAAGTGTGAAATAGTTTGAAGTCTTAAGCTAAGATAAATCTGATCGCAGTAGAGCTGGCTTACATCATTTTAGGATCTGACCTTAATACTTTTTGGCACTAACAGGGTTTTGGCTCTGCAGAAGCAGAGTGTGAAGTGGGGAGGAGCTTTTCAGAGGCTCGTGTTGAGTTTAGGCATGTCATGGCCAGCAATGAGGCTGGTATTCAGGTCACCAAGCTCAGGAACCCATTTTGTCATCGACTCTAGGTGACTCCCCAGCAAGAAGATCATTTGTTATCTGGAGGCTGCATCCCTCCAGTACAGTGCTTCAGGGTTAAAGCTCAGCACCAAATGTGGTATTATGCAGCAGCCTTAAATTTTCAGGAGAGTAAAGGATTATTTGACACATCTGACTGCAGTCATCATCACTGTGGGGCCATGGGGCCATGAAACAGCTGGGTACCAGTGACTCATGTATTGAACAAAACCTCTCCTTGTTTGGGTTTTTGTTTTTTTTTTTTTTGGTTTTGTATTAGGTTTTGATTTTGTTCTTTTCTTTCTTCCAGTGAGCTGCTTCTGGGACCTGTACCTACCAGCTTCACCTTCCTGCCTAAACACAAGGCAAATTCCTACAGATAGGGATGATGAGGCCCTTTCCCACGGCATCAAGTCAAGAGGAGGCATTAGGATGGTGTGTGTCAAGGAGCAGAGTTGCTAAGCTGTGCTCCAAAATAAAATAAAGATTTATGTTTTTAGAAGTCAGGTTGCTTTCATGCCCCCAGTATCAGTCGTGAGCACAAGTTGCACAACAGAGATCATTCAGTCTTTCAGGCAGAGGTGCCTCACTAACACTGAGTAATCTGTTTAATTACCAGGATACAGGCCAGGAGAGATCTTTGGCCTCCGCTTCACAGCAGGAGATCTCCCAACTTCCCCACACCACACACTGGTCCCACAGCGGGGCGAGAGGCCTCTCTTCCCACCGCTTTGGCCTTGGCAGCGCCGACTCCTCCGAGGACCAGGAGGGGATGGACTAACCCAGTCCCTGGGTGCCCTGGAGCACAAACAGCCCCAGCACCTCCGCAGCGGCTGCTGTGCAGGAGCCACCCCTGGTTTGGCAGCACGCAGCGGGGCCTGCCGTCTCCTCCCGGGTGTCACCAACCCGGGGCAGGGGCGACCCCTCCGAGGGGGATCCAGAGCTCCTTCCTGCCTGATCACCAGACTGAAAGAGCTGCCAGCACTCCCTGAGCCAGGGCTGGGGGAAAGCATGCTGCCCAGAGACACTGCCCTCGAACCCCTTTCTCCTATCTCTGTCGCTCGGGTCACAGCAGCCAACAGAATGTCAGGCAGGAGTCACAAATGCCCTGGCCGTGCGTCACAAGGAGGCTGCGCATGCAGCTTGGTCCCCACACAGCGCGGCTGAACCAACTTGTTCCTTTTACCCATGAGAAATACTAGCCACAGCAAAAGGCAGTTGCCCCCACAGCCCCTGAGAGCAGCCCTTAGGGTCCAGCGGCAGCCCAAACCCGCTTAAACCATTTTCCCCACCAAAAAGGAGCTGGGGAGGCTGTTGGGCGTGGGGTGGAACTCGGGGAGCCCCAACATTCCCTCCCGGGAGACCCCACCGAGTCCTTAGCAGCCAAGAGCCACAACAAACCATGGCGCAGCCACCCCTGCGGCTCCCAGCGCGCGGCCCTCGGGCCCCCCCGGCGCCCCGGCTCCTGCAGCCCCTTGTGCTCCCCGAAATCTTCTACCCCTCAGGTGGGGACCCACCCCGACCCCTGCAGCCCACGGATGCTCCGGGGAGGGGCGAGAGCGGAGATGACCCCCCCGTCTCTCTGCCAGGCTCAGCCAACCCGTGCCCACTGCCCAGCCAGGAGCAGCCCTTCCCCACAGCCTGGGCACCCCTGGCGGGGGGAGCACCCCGGGCCCCCCTGGCCCCCCCAGCAGGTATGGCACCCCTCTCTGCTCCGGCACCCCGGCCCCTTCCGCACCTTCAGCATCCCCGACCCCTGCGCACTCCCAGTCTGGCCCCAGCATGCCGGACCCCCCCGGCACTTTTCACGGTGGGTTCAGCAATCCCGGGTGACGCGTGCCCAGGACACCCCGTGGACAGCGACGTTCCCAAACGCTCGGGGCCACCCCCAGTTCCACCTCTCCCAGTCTCCCCCCTCAAGAAGCCAATCTCCCCCCCTCATTTGCACCCCCGTCCCCCCGGCACAGCAGCTCGCCCCGCGGGGAGCACCCCGGCCACAAGCTCCCCAGGTGCCCAGCGCAGAGCCGTAGGCCGCTGGCCACGGGGGACGGCTCGGCAGGTACCCCCGGAGGGTCCCCCCGGCCCAGCACGGCTCCCTCTCCCCCCCACAGGGCTGCAGAGGGCTCCCTGTGGCTGCTGCTTCGACCCCCGATTCTTCCACATCCAGTGGACCATCCTGCCTCCACCGGCCACCTCCACGCTCGGCCACGGCGCCGCTTCTCTGTCGGGTGCTGCCCTGGGGGCTGTGCAGACCCCCCAGCCTGGCCAGCCCCACGGACAGCCCCAACCCCTGGCACCCCACCTACAGCTGCAGAGAGCGCTGGCCCCAGTCGCCCCGCTGCAGCCGACGGCCGGCCCCGGCTACCAGCACCTCGAGGGGCCGACCCACAGCTCCAGCACCACCACCCCCGTGGAGGCAGCCCCTGTCAGCCATGGCCCCCCGGGCACTGATGGCACCCCCAGCTCCTCTGCTGACCCCCACAGCCAAGGCCTCAGGGACCCGGCCGACCACCTGGCCGTGACCAACGAGATGCTTCTCGCCGAGGCCCTGAGGCTCTTTGGTCACCCCCTGGACACGCTGGGGGTCAGCCAGGACGCTCCCAGCAGCAGCCCCACGCCTGGGGACACCGAGGGAGAGGGCAGAGGGGCGGCCCCGGCCCCCTCAGTGCTGCCAACCTCCAGCCCCACCTTCGAGCGCACTGAGGGGCCGTCGTCGCCTGAAAAACATCACCTCAGGCACGGCCACCCCCGGGCAGCGACGTCCCCCCCAGCCCCAGTGCTGACCCCCCCAGCCAAGGCCTCGGGGAGCCGGCAGACCACCTGGCCGTGTCCCAGGAGGTGCCTCTCGAAGAGGCCCTGAGGCTCTTTGGTTGCTCCTGGGACGTGTTGGGGGTCAGCCCAGACGCGGCCCCACATCTGGGGACCTTGGGGACCCCGGCGCAGCCGTCCCCCTGCGCGACTTCGCCTCCCTCTCGCTGCCTGCGGAGCTGCTCAGCCCCGACTACGGCGTCCCCGAGACCGCCGACGCCATCCTGCCCCTCGAAGAATTCCTCCTGGGGATGGAGCCCCAGGAGCCGTGGGGGGAAGGCGGGGATGGAGCCGCCCCCGTCCCAGCCCGCCGTGCCAGCCAAGCGGGGCTGCAAGCGGGGGCACAGCACCTGGTCATTGCCCCCCAGCAAGCGCAGGGTGCTGGCGGGCAGCCCGGGGGCAATTAGACCCACGGCATGGAGGGGACGGGGAGGAAGGGGGAGGTGGGGGGAGCAGCAGGGGTCTGGATTTGGGGTGGAGGGAGGGGGGTAGAGTAGCGGGGGTCTGGGTTTGGGGTGGAGGGAGGGGGTAGAGTAGCAGGGCTAGATTTGGGGTGGGAGGAGGGTGGTTAGAGTAGCATTAGTGGGATCTTTTCTCTTGTTTTTTGTCATTAAAAGCTCTTTCTGTCAAACGGCTCCCTGCCTGTGTGGGAGGGTGTGGGAGCACAGGGGGCACCAGGAAATGGCCCCCCAAGGTGCAAAAGCCCCGCTGAGCCCCAAAGGGCACCCAGATGCCCCCGGGGGGGTGGGGGGTGAATCCCCGCCAGCGGGGCCGGCAATGGCAGGGGGGGACTCCCCCGGCCCCTTCCCCAGGGGAAGCAGCCCTTGCGTGGGGGCAGCCGGGACAGACAGCTCCCTGCAGCGCTCACGGACACGGCCCCACGCAGAAAGCAGCAGCACGGAGCCCCTGCCTGGCACAAGGACAGGCCTTGGGGGGCCATGGCGGGGCGCGGACACAGGCCCCAGCGAGGCCTGCAAGGCCTTCGGCCCCAGCACGGCCAGCGGCCCCTCCAGCGGGGACAGGGCTCGCGCCAAAGCCCTTCAGAGCCTCCAGGCACTCCCGCCCTTCCTCGCGCCCCACCGCGCTCAGCTCCGCAGCCCCGCGATGCCTCGGCGCCGCAGCAAAAGGACCCCAAACGCCCCCGAGAATGGCGAGGGAGGGAGCTGCTGGCCAGGCACGGGCCCCCCTCCCCTTGCCGGCCTGCACCGGCGGTAGTCGCGAGACCAGATCACGGATATGAGGAAAAATCCCTAAGGAAAGAAATCACTGCACGTGCCAGCAAGTGCCTGCAAACTTGCTCCCTCTTTATTGCCCGTCTCCCAGCCCGGCTCCACGAGCCGGGGCCAGCGCAGGCAGCGGGGCCTGCGGGCAGCGGGCTCAGCTCCCCGGGCCTGGCTGGCAGACGGGGCAGGGTGAGGGCCCCGTCGGGGCCGTCCCCCAGCGCCGGGGCTCGGGGGGCTGAGCCCCTTCCTCAGGGCAGCCGCTGGGGCAGGGGGATCCGTTCGGCCCCCCCGGGCAGGTGCAAGCCCTGCAGTAGCAGCAGCACGGCACAGCGCGGCTCCCGGGGCCGCTGCTGCTCCGCATCTCGCCTCGCACACTGACCCCCCCCCCCCCCCAGCATCACCATCGCCCCAAAACTCCCGGCCCCTGGCGCCGCCACACCGCCACTGCCCGCAGCTCTCGGGGGCCACGGAGAGGTGTTCTGCTCCCCAGAGGGGTAAAGAAGAGTAAAGTGATAGCCCTCAACCCAAACATAACGGAACCTCAGTTGTGGAGGATGAGCTCGCCTCTCCCAGTGCTGCTGCAGAATCCCCCGGTGCCCTCAAGGCTGTGGGGCAGGCAAAGCTCCCCATCCCACCAGCCATGGGGCTCAGGCACCTGCTTCACTCTCGGCGGATTGCCAGGAGCAGGTTTGACAGCAGGAGAGGGGCTGGTGCTCCAGGGTGCCCAGGAACCCGCCCCACTCCCCCAGCCACAGCCGTGGTGGCTCTCGGTGCTGGAGCAGAGGCTGCAGCAGCCACCGGTGCCCACGCCTGTCCTGAGCGGAGGGAAGATTTTGCTGGTGAAGAGCGACTCGGTGAAGGTGTTGCCCACGTCGCTGGTCTCGAAGTTGCCGCTGGGCCAGGCGGGTGCCGAGGGGTTCAGGTGCAGGGACAGCGATGCTGACGCACCATCCGGCTTCAAAGAACTGCCGAGCAGGGAATCCCCCATGTTGTAGGGGCAGGTTGCGGCCGCTGCCTGCGTCTTCCAACCCAGCTGCTCCACCAGCTCCTCCACCACCTCCCTCTTGGCCTCAGGTTTCTGCTTGAAGCCCTTCCCGCAGAGCTGGACCACCTTGATGCTCTCGCCACCCGGGCAGCTTTGGCAGCCAAGGTCCTCGAAGGCTCTGCGGGCGCTCTCCAGGCTCTCGTACTCCACCAGCGCACAGCACTTGCTCAGAAGCTCCGGGAAACGCGACGTGTATTTGCGCACATCTATGGGCAGCTTGCGGCCCGGCCGTAGGATGCGGATGGAGGCGATAGCACCAAAGGGACTGAACAACCTCGTGATGGTCTCAAGGAAATTCTTCTGGAGCAGCGGCAGCGTGTCCTGCTCCTGGCGCAGCAGCTCCCAGGCCAGCAGCAGTTTGCTGGGGGGGATGCTCAGGAGGGATTCAGGGATGGGGACCCGCCGCCTCACTTTGGTGCCCTCCTCATTCACCTCCAGCAGGTCTGAGAACTGCAGGGCGTAGAGCGTGAGCCGCCAGTCGCGCGTCAGGTATTTCACCTGCAGGGGAGAGGGGGCCACCGTGTCCCCGCGGGTCTCCCCAGGCTGGGGCCACCCTAAACCCGTCGGCCAGGCAGGCTGCGACCCCATCGACCTCAAGCCATGCCAAGGTAATTCCCCCTTTCATGTGAGCGTCTTCAAGGTTTGCAGGAGAACAACGTCCCCAGTGCCCCCTGGACCGTGGCAACAAGGTACTGCTTTTCTGCACCTCACAGCGCCAGCACCTCCCTGCAGATTTTGCTTAAGGGATGATCTCTCCCAAAGCAGCTCGGGGGAACCTTGGGCAGAGGAGGTGACTCCAGCCCTGGGGTTGGTTTGAGGACTGTTCACCACTTCCCCAGCCACCTTCCATGGCTGGAGAGCTGCTGCAGCATATCAAAGGCAGAGAGCAGAGCTCAGCTCTGCACCGCCAGCACTTTGCTGAGACACAGACAGCCTGAGTAGAGCCTGGACCTCCACGTACACCCCACCAGAGACAACCAGAGCACACCCAAGCATCCTCACATCCTCCACATGAAAACAATTTCCCACCCCAGCTGGCCAGCACCATGGGCTGCCTACCTTCTTGAAGGACGTCAGCAGTTTGATGCTTATGAAGCCCATCTTGTTCTTCTGGACATGCTTCAGAAGGAAAGCATCCTTGGCCAGGTTCTCATCAGAGAGATAGAACTCCACCTGGGACACAATCCTCCGGACCAGCTGTGGGTCAGGGATGGAGCAGTTGCAGTCCAACAGGTCAGCTCCCAAAGTATCACTTGTGTTGCAGAAGCTCCTGGCAGAGCAGCAGGGACAAGCATGAGTTGGTGGCCTCTATCTGGCTCCAGGCACACCAGTGCACATGACAGAGACACTGGGGAGACCCAGGGCCGTCAGCTTCACCCAGCAACACCAGCCTGCACGCTGTGAGCCTCCTGGTGCTGGAAGCACCAGTGTTAGACCATGAAACCAAACCCATCTCACACAAGGGACACATTCCCTTGGGGACTTACATGATTCAAGACTAGGGCTCAACCCCCATGCACATCCCAGCAGCCACATACCCATCAAAGCTCCCAAAGAAGTCCTGGTGGCTGAGCAGAGCAAAGGAGCGGCTCCGTGGTGAAAGGAGATGCAGTGCTGGGAAGGAATTCCTCTGCACTGACAGAGAGGTGCTGCAGCTGGGCTGGGAAGTGAGCCCCAAGGCCACCCCGGGGCTACGTGATGACTTCATCCTTCATCTGGGACATTACATAGGAGAAGAACAGTGCTGGGACACATCCTGACTAGGGCCAGCCCCAGGGCAGAGCCCTGCTCTGGGCTGTAGTCCCCAGCCCTGGGATGGGGGAGCAGAGGCAGCTCCTTGCCGTGCCCTTACCTGCTTGGCAGTGCTGGGGAGGGTAGAAAGTGCTGGTACTACATCCTAGAGACTTTCAGGCAGCAGGCCCCAACCTTCCCCACCTCCAAACTAAGACTCCTAAAGACAAAGTGAAAAGGAAAGAAAAGAACGGAAGAAAAAGCCCTCCAAGCAACTAGGCTGCTGGTTTATATGAGCAGCTACCCAGGAAGAGCCCCAGTGGGTGGTCACGGACCTGCCCCCACCAAGACCCACCAGGCTCCAGGTGAAACCTGTCTGCAGGTTAAATGGCCCCAGCTGAGCCCTGGGAGCTGCTGGGCTCCTCCTGCAGTGAGTGCTGAGCACAGCCAGGCTGGCAGAGGAGGAGCAGAGGCACCAGTACTGGTACCAGTACCAGCATCCCATGGTACCCAGTGGGGCAGCGAACTGCTGCCATGAGGCATCTCGGTCTGTGCCTCAGTTTTTCTGTCTCGCACAGGGACAGTAACAGTCACATGGAGGTGGAGGGAGGGTTTAGGCCGAGGAACTGTTTGGGCACCTGATGCTGCCTGCTGACAGGCAAAAGTCTTCCTTCCTGCAGAAATACCCTGCACCCCAACGAGAGGCAGCAGAAGCGCCCTAAGAATGGGGTGAAGCCCAGGGAAAGGGCTTGGGCCCCCTGGGAGGGGGTGACACTGTGGGGTAGGACAGCCCATAGCTTCAGTACGGGATGAGGAAGGAGACCTGGGATGAAACTCATGCCTGTTTCTTAAATCCCACATTGGGCAGCAGCGGGAGGGCAACGAGGAGGTGAGGCCACGGCTGTCAGAGCAGTGGGGCAAGGGCACGGGGGGCTGTGGAAGGGGCTGTCAACCAGAGCTGCCGTCTGGAGGGGTCGATCCTGGGAGCCTGGCCCGGCGCGGGGTTGAGCTGATGTTTCTCTGTGCCCTGTGGCCACAAAGACTGGCCAAGGGCCCGTCACACTGTCCACTCTGAGCTCGCCCCAGCCACGCAGGGCGGCTCCCGATGAATCCCCAGGCAGTGCCACACTGTCCAGCTCAAAGCTCATCCTTGGGGGACGAGTCACAGGGACCGGCAATGCCAAACCGCTTCTGGGATGTTGCACTCCCCTGGTTCCCCTGGGGTTGGTGCTCTTGGTGTCACCCCCCTGCCCCGTGACCTCCACCTCTGGTTTTCTCTGCCGGTTGGGAGCTGCGTGGCGGTGTGAGATGGTGGGTGGAAGAGAAAGTCCTGGGATAAGAGAGGTGGTCGAGAGCCACCCAGCAGAGGAACTGGGAACAGCCACGGTCCCTGAAGGGTGGTGGCACTTGGTGGCAGATGACAATGAGGACACACCTCACCTGAATTCGCGGTGGGAGGCAGATCTACCTCCGGTCAGGACATGACAGGGCTTAAACCCTCACACCCAACGCTCCCGAGGTGTCTCTCAACCGGAACCACACGTGTGGACGGTGCCGTACCCCACCCCTTGCCCACGCGTGGGTGCTGCCTGTCCCCGGCAGGCAGCAAGGGGCCGCGCCGGCAGCCCGACCTCCCCAGCCCTCGCTGGGGTCCCGTCGCCCGAGCCCGGCAGCTCCCCAGCCTGCCAGCCCAGCCCCCAGCCACGCCACGCCGAGGTCCCTGCGGGGATTTGCCCGTCTAGGAGGGGCGATGGAGCCAGAGGCAAGCCGAAGAGGGCAGGTTGTGTTTTAACAGGGAGCGTTTTGAGCTGTGCTTTGCTTTCCACTTGCCTGCTCAGGGTCAGGAGGTGCTGCTCAGCCCCCCGGGGAGCCTGGGGGAAATAAGCCCCTTGCTCCAGCCCTGACTCAGTATCCAGAGAAGCTCAGGCGGGTCCAGCCATCGCCGCAAGACTGGGCATATCCAGAGGGAGAGTGAAGCAAGGATGCAGGGGAAGAGGGGCTGAGGCTAAACCTTCCCCTTCCCGATGGGTTGGAGCAGGAATGATCTGTCACTCATCACATCCTTGTCTCACTGCTCCCATCCTCCGCAATTAGTCTGGAAGCATAATTAGAAAATGTTTCATATGGCCCTGTGCTTAGCAGCTGCCTCATCTTTCAGCCTCATCTCCCCTCCATTAACGCTGGTGTAATGGGTGTATGACCCCTACAAACCAGGTGCTGTTTCGTGGTGAATCTGCCTTCCTGCAGACACCAGATCCCTGGCCAAAACTGCTTTAATTAGACTGTACTGGGCAGATCCTGCATCTCCCCCGATGCTGCAAGGCTGCAGCACCTGCCTGACATCTCTTTGTAGTGATTAAAGAAGAAATGGGACCACAATTATTGTACAGGCCTGAGCATTTGATATATGTTTATTGCTATTCAGGTTTAGCTGGGAATTTTGTGCATATCAGGTTTAGGTGGTTATCCAGACTCCTTGCACAGTGCTGCAGAGCTCCAGAGCATCTCATTTGCCCGTCCGTGGTAAGCAGAAGGTGGCTGGGTTCAGTCGGAAGCGGCTGCAAAGAAGAGCCAATGCACCAGCTGAAGTTAATATCACACTCGGTGGGAGCAGGGGAGTTTAAGACTTGGTTGCTCAGTTGTTTTTTTAGACCATCTTATCTCATCAGCAGGATCTGAAGCGTGGACTCTGATGCAGGGAGTATGCATTGTCATTATTTACAGATAAATCCAGCTTTCCCACTTCTCTCCTGCTACTTTGATATGTGACATATACAGACAAACATCACCCTGACAGACAACAGCACGGGACAGTAAGAGGGAAAGATGTGCCACTATACACACTTTCTTTTTACTTTCCATTAGCAATATTTTTTTTTAAAGTGTCACAGCTACCTTAGTACCATTCGGAATGAGTAAATAATATATTTGGATAGAATATACTCTGATATGCAAATGTACACGAGACCCCTGGAGAAGCTCACATCAAATACTGCATCATTAGAAATAAGAATAATAGAAGCTATTTATGACACGGCCTTTATTCACAGCAAAATTTGCCCCGGGGCTTTGTTTTTGCAGCTCGGCTTGATGACAGATTCCACCCCCCTCCTCTGCCCTGCAGTCCATGTCAGCCCAGACCCCGCAGGACATGGAAAGGGAAAATAAACCCCCACTGGGGCAGAAGCTCCCCCAGCTCAGCCCCTACGGGAGCCACCACCGCAGGAGAAGGCGAAGGGATACAGCAAGGGGAAACGCCACCGTAGTGCTGAGCAAACCCGGGCCCGTGACAGCCCCGCGCTGCCGCGTGGGACGGGCTGTTTTACCAGAGCCTGAGCTGCGCCGGCTGGCCTGGAGCGGGGGGGAGCGGGCACGCCGGCCCACCCTAAGGCACTGCAGTCGCACACCCTCGCCCGTGCTCTGGATGCAGCCCCGCAGGCAGCTGCACCCTCCCTTTAACATTTTAGCAGGACATCAAGCGCGAATTTTACAAAAACCGAGGATGCAGGACCAGTTCCCCTCTGCCTGGGTACCCTGGTGAGGATGGGGGTTGCCCTGGGATTGTCCATGGGCATCAGAGCGCAGGGGGCAACCAAACACACTTTGTGACCAGCTGCCGCTTCCTCAGAGTCCTTTGGTATCTTGAGTTGGCCTGACCGTGTCCCAGGAGCGCTCATGGATCAGCGATGAAATGCCAGGCTGGGGAGACACAGGGGCAGGTGGGAACGCTTGTCCCATAGCCCCAGAGCATGTATGTGCCAGTCCCAGAACACACACGCGTCAGTCCCAGAGCAGGTATGTATCAGTCTCAGAGCATGTGTGTCAGTCCCAGAGCACATACGTGTCAGTCCCAGAGCCTGCACATGCACCACTCCACCGGGACCAGATGGACATGCAGCCTGGAACCCTCTCCCCCGGCGGGCACAAGAGAGACGTACTGTCCTGCGCTCCCCGGCACGAGTGATTTGGCAAAGTCAGAGCCAGGACAGCTTGTCTTGAAAGGCTGCAGGAGAAGGGTCAGGTATTTTTCCTTCTTCTTGGGCACTGATTGGTTCAAGTTTGTATCACAGTGAAGTCTGAGAAGTGGGGAAGAAACCCAAACCACCTTCCCTGAAAGAGAAAGCCTCGTTTGCCCGGCTCGCTCAGGCCGGAGAGGACAGCCTCTCCTAGCCGGGCACATCCGATCTGCTGCTGACCACGGAGGCTTCCATCGCTCGGGAGCAGACTTTGGACCTTCGCCCTCCAGCCAGCACTCAAACCGGAGGAAAGCAGGCGGCCAAACCAGCCCCGTCCCACCACCCGCCTGAGCTCGGCCCTGGAGCCCATCCTCAAACACAAGTAAACATACAGAGAAACTAAGAGGCACTAATAACGCAGAGACGGGGAGACTCAGGCTTGCGGCTGTCAAACCTGGCTCCGGATGTCTTCGTCCAGCTGGAGAAAAGCCGGGTCCCCGTTTCAGATCTCCTGCAGCGAGTGGCCAGGGTCGCTGCGTTCCCTTTTCACCAGCGGCTCCCCCACGCGCCGGGAGTCCGTGTCCACCTCGCTGCCCAGGTCACTAATGTCATCTGCAAAGGACAGGTCTCAGCATGAGAGTGGCGACCGGAGAGCAAGAGGTTCTTTTTCCCAACAGAGCAGGGTAGAAGAGCCAGCACGAGGTTCCCCCTCCCACAGCGATTCAACCCTGACCCAGCAGGACTTCCCTTGAGGGAGAGGAGGTACCTTTGTCCAGCAGTGTTGGGGACAGGGATGTGAGGTCACCAAACTGAAAGAAAAAGGAGTTACAAGGTAAGCGAGGCTTATTGGAGACCCAAAGTGCCAGACCTGCAAGTTGGCATCTATTTCTAAGCAATTCTAACAAGCAGCTTAAGTGCTCAGGAGAAACCACAAACATCAGCAGTGCTGGCAGTGAAGCGCAGAAAGTAAAACCAACCACATGTTTTGGGGAAAAGTCTGTTGCTGCCATTAAAACCTCTGGGCAAACCCCACACACAACAATGCAGGGCAGGATCAAGCCCTGGAATGGAGAAATTTTTTAATTTCCCAAGTCACAGCTAAGTGCTGCCACAGACCAAAGGATGGTGCCTGTTTTCCAACCCTTTGCATCTGCCGGGCAACTGCTCAGACAGGCCAGCTATTCGCCTCTCCTGGGACTCTACCATCACTCCACCTCCCTGCAACTCTCTGCAAAGCCTTTGCATTCATGTCAGGAGAGTGCTCTGGCTTGCAAGGCCACGGTGTCAAGTGTAACCAGAGAGCTGGGGATATATTTGGTTCTGGAGATGTGTTGTCTCCCCCTATGATGAGGTCTGAAACACTACATTGCTAAAACAATAACGCTGAGAAGTCATGCAAAGTTGGACAGCAGAAGGAACCGAGGAGAGCAGGAGTTATAAAGGGAGCAGTGGAAATGGAAGGACACGATTCATCCTCTTTTGCTGGGAAGAATCAGCCTCCTCCTGGAGAACAGAAATATTGCAAGAGTTTAATGAGGGAAAGACAAAACCTGAAGGATGAAAGCCTCCCACAGCTAGGTTTTGATGGAAGCCACTCTCTGCCTTTCACGTTCCTTTATTATCAATAAAGACAAAGGTTTTGCAGGGAACAGTGGGAACTTGCAGCACTGATGACGGTGCAACAGCATGGGTCTAACAGGCGGGGAAGGGAAAGCAAAAGGCATGCAGTTAATTTGTCTGGCTCCCCTATGTGAGCTCTGTGGAAGGAAGAAAACAGCATGAACTCCAAGGAGCAAACGAGATCAGTTTTAATCTAACAGTAGTTTCTATATTGCTGTCACAGGTTGATCAGGGGCTTTTAAATCTGTGCATTTCAGAGTGAAAAATTTGATGTGGCTTCAGCTAGGCAGGACAGGACCTGCCTGCAAGCCAGGAACCAGATTTACTGCCTGATTTTTTAAAAACCAACCAACCAACCCTCCAAACAACAGAAACAACCCATCATTTCTCTTCTTCAAGTCAAAAATGGAGAGAGTGGCTGACTGTGCATGTAACTGGAGCCTGCAGAGGCTTGAAGAAGTTGAGTGAATGGTACCACTGAAAGTTACAGGGAAAGTAACTTTTTTGACCTTTTTTCCCTTGGTTCCGTTTTTGTGTTTGAAGGGACTTTGCTCTGGTGGGAACCCCAAAGTCAGGGTTGGTACCCACAGGTTATGGAGAGAAGTGGGGAGATCCTTTTCCTCCTTCCTCCAGGCCTCCAAAGCCCAGCTGATGCTCAACTGCCCCAACACCCACCACTACAGGTATTAGTGAGTCAGGATGGAAGATGCTCAAGGAGCTAGATCCTTGTGCCAGGCACCCAAAACAACTCAGTAACCCTTAAGCAAAGATGGTTATAAAAACATGTTCATGACACACTGTGTTTTGTGAACCAACTGTGTCTCTTTAAGTGCTGCCTAGTTTGGGTTTGTTTCTAGGGAACAAACAATTCTCACCTCTCCCATTACAGCAATCGGTGTCTCCCCTGTTGCCTGGGCAACACGATGCTCTACCAGATAAAACATGTATTCATCATAGAGCAGGCGAATCAGGTGGAAGGAACCAAAGCTGGCAGCACTGCGTAAGGTGAGGTCACGGATCACCATGGAGCTGGAAAAAGGCCAGGAAACAAAATATTTGGGTTGTGTTTGACATTTGCATCACGGCTGATGGGCATTCTTGACCCTGAAGGTACTGTGGGACACAGTGCTCTGTTTCTACCTCTAACCCAAGAGTATCAAAGCACTTTAATAAATTAATTGACGGAGCATCCTATCCCCATCCTGAAAAGATACAAGAGATACAACCCTCTCCCCTTCTGTACAGGGGCAGAGCAACAGTTAACCAGAGTTGCATGAGAGTAAAGAACTTGGCCTTGGCTCTTCAAGGAGCTATTTACATGCCCTAAGCCCGATGCAGAAATATCGCCAAAATGAGAGAGAAAATGTACCTATAGAAAGACCATTTCAACAGGAACTGCCTGGCTGCCTTGGGGAAGCTGGGACTGCCCTCATGATGCTTCAGGACTTGAGTAACAACATTATCCAGCCAACTAGCCCACTGGTCCAGGGAACTCTGCTGCTGCAGAGTGAGCTTGAAATCCTGCTCCAGCTTCTGCACCATGCCTTCCTCACACTGGCACACCCACGAGGCTTGCTCCTGCTCAGGAAGAAGGGTTGGAAGAAGTTACTCAGGCCAAGCCTGCATAGTTGTTGCATCCCAACCCAGGAATTCAACTTCATTTCTAGTAGACAAGTACTCCAAGCCAGCTCTGAATCATGTCTCCTCCAATCTGTCCAGACTTCAGTACAATATTGTTATTAGAACTACATTATTGTTGGTAGCACTACTTCTTACAGAAGTTCCTTAGTACCTTCTCCACTATTCACAGTGAGATGGTAAACTTACCTGGAAAAGTAACACCAAAACAGTTAAATTATTCATTCAGTTGCTTTTTAGTGTTGGAAATAATATGCTGGCGACCAGCAGACAACCTCATTATAGCGTCCCAGTTCTAGACAACACGACCTAGGGAAAGACACCCTAAGTTACCTGCACGTTGGCGAAGTCGACCCGATTGAGATCGCTGAGCATCTGGTTTATCTGGGAAGTGTTCTGCAGCACGGCACGGGCGGCCTGAGCCAGGTGGTTCAGGGACGTGTATCTCCGCAACGTCTGCGCAAAGGCACTCACCACCCCGACCTGTAACACAGCAGGCAGGACACCGCGAGCAGGAGGCCACGGAGCTGGAAGGCAAACTCTTCTCGGCGCCGAGCTCAAGCACGAAGCGGCCTCTGTGTTTCTTTTCTTTAAACTAATGGGTTCTCATGCTCTGCCTCCAGCAGAGACCAGCAAAGTGAGAACAGGCTGCAAGAACCCATGGCTTTAGGAGGGGCAGAGTGGGAGTCTTAGGCTCAGTCTCTGCAACGCCATTCGGTCCATGAGGTGTCCTGCGCTTTCTAGTTTTTCTAGCCTCGCTCCAGTACAGAGATTTTCTTCCACAGAGCTTTATCTGCAATTTTGGGACATAGGAATGGCTCAGCGGACAGAGCATCATTAGCCTCTGGAACAAAGGAATTGCCCTACCTGTCCTCCCACTCCTTACTGATTTGGGTTCAAAATTATTCATTACGCTGTGCTAGTCTGGAGTACGTGTAGCCGAACCCCAGAAGTGATTTTCAGTCGCTGTGGAAAACTGCAACATGCACACGCACACACACACACACACTCAGTTCGTACCCCTGACCTGCAACGCGCTCCCTCTGCTTACCTTGGTCTGGACAATCTCGGCGGGAAATTCACTCATTGCGTTCATCAGCCACCCTTCCAAACTCTTGGCGAAATTACGAATCGCCTGTGTAAGTGTGCCTGCAAAGAAGTCTGCAGAGTTAGAAAGGCTGTTCCATATCATCTCTGCACACCACTTTCTAGCTTAAGACTGCTGCGGAAAGCACAGCCTCTGATCTGGTTAGCTGTGATCTCAATTTAGCATCAAGGAAATCAGCTGGGTCCTGAGATGCACTCAAATCTTTGCTATTCTCTAAAGTTTTTACTCAAACTTTCTTCTTATTCTTAGTCTTTCTTATCTTTTTCTTATTCACGGACCTTCTGAACATTTTCCAAATGTTGAAATATGCTCCTTAAAGACCCACATGTGCCCCAGCATGTCGACTGACAACAGCATCCCACAGGGACGTGGCCTTCCAGTACTGCTCAGCCCAATCTGGGGCTGAGCTGAGGCCTCGGGGAGACTGACACCCGCACTTCACTGAGGAGCCAAATCAGAGAGAAACCCCTCCCTATCCCATCACTAATCTCCCAAATGAAAGTTGACCCCAAATTTCCAGGAGGGGACAGGATGGTCCTATGTAAACAAAGATACTATCTCCAAGGAAACATCTCAAAAGGATTAGCCGTGCTTACTTGCCTATTAAGGCTGTGCTTTTACCTTGACTCCTAGCCAAAGCCAGGAGATGTGATATGCAATAAACCAAATTTTAAAAGGCATGGGAATTTCCAGGGGCCACAAAGTACGACCGACGCCGGGCAGTGCTGCAGGGGGAATATTGCTGTTGCCATAATATTTTAGCTTGTATTCAAAACAAAAACCTCTAAATCAGCTTTTACAACGGCAATCTTCGTGGCAAGTGGTAGCCAGACCGTGTGAGTCACGGCTGGCTGTTTGTCAGACACAGCATCCCGTGCCTCAGCCCGGCGAGGAGCAGGGGCTGAGCAGGAGCGGGGACCACGCGTGCCCTCCTGGCCACGCTGCAGGGTACTCACTGGGCACCGGTCTGAGCACGTCTGGGATGAGAATCTCCACCAACGCCTGGTACAAGATGTGATCACAGCTTCTCATCCATTTGAGGATGGGTTCGTATTTGCACAGAGTGATCAGCTTGTCTTTAGGGAGGGTCCCTTCGTGCTCTTCGCTGCGGGAAGAGGAGGAGGGAGGCAGAGTTAGCAGCAGGTTTACATTCGATGCATTCCCTCTTCCTCTCGATTCCTAACCCCAGTTTTCAGCAGAAAAAAAAGCCATTCCTGTTTCCTTCAAAAAGAAACGTCTGATCGTTTGTACAAGTCTTGTCTGACTCTGCAAGTGCCTCTCCATCCACGGAGTCAGAGCTCTGACCACAGCCTTCCCTCAAATCCACAGCTCCCACTGCCTGCCCTGCCTGCCTTCGCTTCTTCCGTCTTTACCCCCGGCTGCCTTTCACACGCTCACGTTCCTGTGTACGTGGGACCTGTACTTCAGCACGGTCACTTCAGCAAGCAAAGGCTTAGCTGGTTCCTCCTTACAGACCCAGCTATTTCCAAAACCTTCACACCTCTCTCCTCTCCCCTCTGCTCTAAACCTCCTCAGCTGTAGCAGTGGGGACAGAAAGTTTGCAGTGAATGTTGTTTTAGCAGATTAGCTGGTATTGACAGATACTAAAGATGTTTTTCAAGGTGTGTAACACCTTCAAATGCTGAATGCTTTCAAAAGGAGAAAGATCTGGTGTTTTGATGAGAACAAAGCATATTGTCTGTAACTGAATGAGGTCAATCAAGCTTGCACTATTTTCACTTTATAGATAGATGGATGGAAACTTCTGCACGATTAAGGCATAAGATATTTGGTTAAACAGCAAGCAGAGAAAACTGAAGCCTTAATGCACTGCCAGAGCATCAAAGCAGAGCTGCTCAAACACTACACTGGGAACTGGGAATTTGGAAGGGACTTTCCCCATGCGTTACATCAAAATCATTAAAGCCAAGCCTTGGTCATACTATAGAGGTACTTATGGCCTCTGCCTGAGCAGTTTTAGTAAATGAACCCCACAGGCATACTCCCAGAATACTCACATGGAGAAACTGGCCATCAAGTCCCTAAACTTCCTGTTAAGTGGAACCATATTCTGCATTTTATCATGCTTTCAAACAGTTTTGACACTTTGATAATATTTTGGCTTTATATTTGTATATATATATATATATATATATATATATAAAAAAAGCAGGAGGAGGGAGTGCTTTATTTACCTGTCTGGATCATTAGCAGCAGTATGGAGAGGTGCTAGAGCACACAGCCTGAGCAAGACAGGCTAGTTCAGACAGAGCCCTGCAGAAATGCTGCCTCCAGTATGGAAGGGAGCCTACCTGTCCCTGCACAGCGCTCTCTGTGGTGTTGTGATACGCCTTGGAGATACACCCTTAGGCAAAAGAGATTTTGAAACAAGCAAACAAACACAGCTACAGTGATCCTTTGCAGGAAAATATCCGTTGGGTAACATCTGCTGAAGGCAACAGGGTCATATTCTACAGATAATTTGCTTATTACTCAAACTTTTATAATTTTTCTTCTGAATATAAAATGTCCATATATCATCGGTAGAAGTGGACAATAAAGACTTTTAATACAAATTTTAAGAAAAAACCTTCACCTTGTCGATTTTTTCTGTTTTCATTTATTTCCATTCCCCTGTCTCTTGGCAGCAGACTACCAGTGCATAAAGGACGAAGAAAAGGCAATAACAACGAGCCAGGCAGGAGTACAAAGATCACAGTAGTTTGTTTGCCATTATCTGCCTCAAAACATGAGGCACTTAAAGATCTGGATAGTCAGCCAAAGAAGTGAGTCAGTCTAGATGTCACTGAAATCTCAGAGCACGGAATCGTTACTGCTCCCGATGACCAGGCACGAAAGCAGCACCCTGTCCTCATTCATCTCTGCAGTTTGGATTAGCACTTGTTACAGGAGGTATAAGGCACCCAGAGGGACACAATCAGAGCAGATGCTTTCCTCCCAGGTCTGAACTTTGTGTGGTCGTTACGATATTAAACACTTCAGACACTCGTAATGATTCTGCAGGGAAGTAAATGCTTTCAAGTCCCACAGAGCATTCAAAATGCCTAACGAAGCTGAAAAGGCTTCATGCATTTTTAAAGGTAAAAAGAACACCAAAAAATGGAGCATTCAGAAATAATCAAAGCACGGCAGTGTACCTGGATGGCAGGGTAGTAGAGCCATCACTAGATGGTGTTTTAGGACTCCAGAAGGATTGCCACAGTTTCTCAATATAGTGAAACTGAAGATTCATGACAACATCCAAAGTCGCCTAACAACAAAGAACACAAATCATTAGCTGCTCTGCTAGTGTCTTGTCACACAGCGCAAATATAAATTTCATGTGTTGCCACTTAGATTACATAATTTCCAAGAAAAAAAAAAAAATGGAAGGGGCACTGTTTTAATAATCAACATAACATAAACCAGGTCAAACAATTAAAAAATTACAGCACAGTATTTGAGTTGTAATACCTAGCAAGCTAAGCATTCCCTATTATATTCCAGCTCTTTCTATGAGCAGGATATGAGATAAGCACATGAATTATGTCCCACGTTGATTAACAAATCAATTAAAAATATTCCAAATAATCACCTCGCAGTGTCGCCTGTAAAGAAGCTGCAGAGTTTTCACATCATTCATGGTGACCCCTTCTTGTAAGAGGACGTTACCTAGATGTGGGGCTGGGAACTCAGGAAAGACATGGGTTACATCTAGGGAAAAAAAAAAAGATTGGAAAAGATGGCGAGAGTTAGGAGCACTCAGTTACACGGGACTACAGATGAGTACAAGGTGCTGCTGCTGTTGCTGGTGGCTATCTTTCATGTTTCAACTGGGATGAAACAGGAGAAACAAGACCAGTAATCTAGTATTTTCCCTGATTCATCCTGTTATACTGGGCACAAAGCGAACAACCGCAGCCCATTTATTCAGTGTGGAAAGGAAAATGTTTTCTTTCTCTCTGTAATGAAAGAAACAAGAATACATTGTCCTCATCTACCACGCTTCCCATTAGATTTTCTCCGAAGCCTGAAAAATGTCTCTCTGGTATTTTGAGAGTACAATGGAAAATATAATTGGACAGCGGACATATCAGGAGCAATTGTACTTGAGAGACAGCTGGCCGGGATTTGGCAACTCTGCTTGGATGATGAGACACATAGATCCAGGACCAGCAAAGCCAGAGAGCTTCTCTCACAAGGAGAAGGTCCGTATGGATCGTCTGCAGTCGGATACATCTTGCAGCCTTTGCAGTGAAGAGAATGAATCGCTCTTCTCCTTCTGGCTGCCTGTCTTAGCATGGCTCTTCAGGAGCTCCACTCCTTCCATCCAAGCTGGGTAAAACCCAGTGGATTAAAAACATTCTAAAAGGGAAGCAACAGACCTGATGGCACAAGGAAAAAGCCTTCCTCTGGGTACAGGAGCTAATAAATAAACTTAGCAAGTGTGATGTTACAAGAGCTTATTAGTATACTATACATAAAATATATAATATATATTATATAATATATATATTATATATATAATATGTGTATAATATATAAAACTGTAGATTTATTAGTAAAGCAAACAAATTCAGAACAACCAGGGCTTGTTGGACAAGACCATCCTTTCACTTAAAGTTATAAGCCTAGATGTGAGATATCTGATACTAATAATCTAATAATATCTAATAAGCAGTCCCCTCACCTATGAATTGCTGATGATGTTGACTTTGAGCAGCAACTGATTGCTCCGGCGTCGTGTGTGGGTTACTGTTGGACCCACTCTCTGCCATGCCATCCATCTTCTGCGCTGGTCTATACCTAAATTTAGAGCGTGGCTTGGGATTTACACAGGCACCAGCAAACACATACACGGTATTTGCAACATAGTCATGCGGACTTTCACGTTCATCATGAGGCTACATTCAAGGCCAGCATTTTGAGGGCTGACCATCTGTATCACCTACATAACTGGAAGGGGAAAATGAGAACCTCCTTTTGAAAATCGCTCCCCAGGATGGAATTAAAGGGTTTGAGATGCTTGCCCAAGGTGACACCAAAAAAAAAGAAAATGGGAAGTAAAGCTGGAGTGGGTGTCAGAGTGCAGATTCAGACTCGGGATCTGACTTCTGCATTTACTTTCTGTTTGGGAGCTGAAGAAATAAATGCTTCTGCTCCTTCTTCACTCCAGCAAGAACTAGAAGTGTTCATGCTTCCAGGAGACAATTCCAAATTCCTTTGCACACTGTTTATTATATTCAGAATTACTCAGACACAAGACTAACCACAGCACTATTTAACTTGTACTGTTGCACAAAAAAAAAAGCCCCAAACAAAAACCAAAACCCACCCAAGCACAACACAAGCCTCCAAGTCCTTTACACTGATTTGGCACAAATAACTCCACAGCTGAGGTCCTATAACAGTCGGGTCAAAGAGAGGCAGTGAAAAGTGACACATACGGTGGCATCCCCTGTAGCAGCAGGTTGAATCAAGCTGCTGGCAAACTGAATAGGCAAATAAACACCGTTTCATAGAATCACAGAATAGCTTGGGTGGGAAGGGACCTTTAAATGCCACCTAGTCCAACGCCTGGGCAATAAGCAGGGACATCTTCAACTCGATCAGGTTGCGCGGAGCCACGTCCAACCTGACCTTGAATGTCTCCAGGAACGGGGCATCTACCAGAACTGGTTTTGGACCCTTCCACTGCTCAGAGCGGCCAGTGACTTGCAGCCCCCTCTTCCACAGCTCAGCTCCGGCACTTCAGCAACGCTTGGGTCTGAACTGTCCCAACACGCTCCCGTTGCCCCCAAGCAAGCCAAGGCCCAAGACGGGGTCTTTGGGAAAGGACCCTTGCCCGGGGCGGCAGCGGGGGCACCGCTGGTGAGCTCCAAGATGCTGGGAGCACCTACCTTTGCTTCTGGTGGATGGGCTGCTGCCTCATCGCCATGTACTGTGTGTCCTCCTGCAAGCGGTTCAGCGGAGACTCTGGTTTTAGACGGATGCCGTAATAATGATATTTGGAGTTTCCCCTGGAAGTATCAGTGTTGAAATTTCTCAGTGTAAGCTAGTCAACGGAAGGGACATCGTAGCCCTGCAGTTTACTCTTGGGCTTGTTTTGACAATACACCCTACTTCTTACAGCACACGTCGGTTTGCTGCCAAGCGTTATTTGAATGGCTGAACTAATGAACTAATGAATGCCATCATCCCCTATAAAGTTTAAAACCACATGTCACAAAGTTCAGTGACATCCACACTTAAAACTCAGCAAGGTTTGTTCCAAGTAACCCATGGTAACTGGAGAAGAAGAGACAAGTGTTACAATGCAAAGTGTTATTACACATAATGACAGAAAGACCTCAGGGGACACTGTGCTATTTGATTAGGGTTTAAGGATTTGCTTTTTCCATAAAAACATACTTCCATCTTTATCTACACTTGGATAAAACAAGCCTGACTGAATAGTCAACTATGATAAGAAAAATGTCTTTCTGTTGCCAGCACTCTCACAGCAACGGCAATGGACTTTGATGTGGCTTTGTTCTTGGAGTTGCTCATTTCTGTAGCTTTGTAAAAACTGAAAGCTGTTTGCAAGCAAAAGAGGCTGTAATACTTTTTCCTTTGCTGGTCAGTAAACTGCCGTGATGCTCCTTAGGAGAACGTCTTGCCATCACATTATACAGATGTGTCAGCTAAAGTTTTTCCACCAAACTGGAATTTTTCAATCCCCAAGCGTCTGCTTTTGGGAGCGAGAAGGACAATTGCGCAGCCATGGATACATGATGACAGCATGGCCAACTTGGCTTTAGCCAATTTGTCGCTAACAACGGTTGAGCTGAGTCCTCAGTGGGAGGGACGAGCCAGGGGAGCAGCAGCAGGGTCCCCAGAGCCCTCTTACTGGGGTTGCTCAAAATTCACTTGCTGCGTCACTATGACAGGGTCTGAAGGCACCTGAAATCCAATGATGCTTCCCATTGGAAAATTACATAGAGAAATCTAAGAAAGGAATATTTGTCAAAGAATTAACCCCTTCTTCCAAGCTGGGGGAATTTTCTCTTTTCAAGGGGATGGTTGAATCATTCTGCCTTTGTCACTGTGCCAATGGGTTTTACACACACTGAGTGGTCAGGTATGAAGTACGCTTCAGCCATGACTTAAGTGATTCTAAATGCCTGCAATTTAAATAACAGCTGCATTTATAATCTAAATGAATTAATATGGAAATAATGGTAGACAGCTATTTACATATTTATTGAGGTTTACTACATCCTTCCCAGCCTGCACATTTGCAATTTTAAGTGGCTTTTTTGCTTGTTGGTTTTTTCTTTAATCTCTGATGGCATGAAAGAATTTCTCTCCCCTAAATAAATTAATTTAGAGCTCTTGCACTTGAACCAATCTAAGGAATTCCAAACTCTCCCCTGCTCTTCCTACAACTGCTGCCTCCACGTTCCAGCTGCGGCATGCCCCGGACACATCTGGTTTTGTTCTCATTTAGAAGCCCAAGTATCTCAGCTTGAATTTTATTATAAAATCTTACACAATCAGAGCAATCACCATTTCTTTCATGTATTAGCTACATTTTTAATATTAGAAGCTGGGATAAAATGCAAACTCAGCCGGGCAAGCTGCGCAGATACTTTGGATGCTCCCTTGAAGTGCACATATGGAATTACAGCAAGTATACTTTCTGATGTTATGCTTTTGTTGCAACATCATATGGATCTTTAATGTTTAAAAAAAAAAAAATCTGTCACAAGATTCAGCCTGCCACTTTGGTTATTTAAGAAATAAGCCATTTACATCTGTACAGCTTGTCTGCATCAAAGATGTGGGCACAAGTTCTGTGCTGGAGGACCTTTACGGGACCCAAAGGAAGAACCGTTTCATGGCACCAGAATTTTGGGCTCTGCAGCTGACAGTGGCAACTGTGAAGACGAGTTACTTCATCTTTTTGAGACAGTGATGGAATGAGAAGCCCGGGTTCAAATAAAATATTCTTAGACTCCTTTGGAAATGGACTTAGACCAAATTCCAAATCTGTGGCTGGACAAAGCACTGTCACTGGAGACCTGGAGCCCTTCTGAAATTAACTGTATTGTCAAGCCTCTCACACCGCTGATTCACGGTGAGAAAGCAGCTTTGCCTCACAACACATGGGAACTGCTTCTGCGCCTCAGAATAGCCATGTTTTTTTTTCCCACAAGATCATGGTTGGTTGTTTCAGTAGATCTCAGAAGAAAGACCCGTGCCTGCTAAACGATGCTCGGTAGGTTCCTGGTACACGTGAGAGAAGTTGTAGGAGGTTTTTTGTTTTTTTTTTAATTTAAATGTAGATTCATACCGACCTGGTTCCCAGGCGACGAGTCCTCAGCCCCATGAACACCGAACGAATCAGTTTTCCGAAGGAAGCGGCGTTCACCGGATCCAGTTTGTGCTCTTGGCAGTGCCGCAGGTAATGGTTGTAGAGAGAGCTCCTGGGAAGGCTCACGCCTTCCGCCGTCTCGTAGTTGTCCAACAACCACTGGAGCTTTATGTATGGAAAACATAAATAAAGAACACATGAAAGTCTAAAGAGGGCTGGAACGGGCTGTGTCGAACAATGTCAACACTTAAATGTCAGGAGAGCCCACCTGATATTATAAGTTCAAGAGAACTTAATGCTGGGTAGTTAATTTCTGTAAGTTAATTTATATAACTTATGCCAGTCGCATTTTTATAAAGTAAAAGAACACCCAGCCCAAAGCTAATAACCCAAACAAAAACGCTGTCAGATTTTGCAAGAGCATTAAAACATAGTCCACCTGCCATCTCAGTGTCCACCTTGGATTTGTATGAATTCCTGCAGAGCCAAAACAAAGCTGTAAGAAGTTGGGTTTTCCAAGAATAAAGATGTTAAGATACTGCCTACAAGGAATAAATTTTAGAGGAACCAAATATGCTGCAAAGTCTTTATTAATTTGAAGATTGGCATGTCTACAACTGTTCCCTTAACAATAAAATTAACGGTTACCAACGCAACGTTCAAAATCTGAGGGGGTCCATCTATTTTTCAGAATTTACTGCTTGAACGTCTTCTGACATTTGTGTTGATTAAAGATTGCAATTAATATAAATTATTTATACCCAGCCAGTCTGAAAGGGCAGGCCCAGCACACAATGTCAGCACAGGAATTAAAACGCAAAAAAAGACAAAACCCCCAATCTCCTTTAATTGGCTAAATGACTTCAGCATCAATTAAATAAGTGTTATATTAAGTGAATTTTTGAAGGAACTAGATGTACAAATGGACTAAACCCGGTAGCTTTGGTAAGAGCCCTTTCATTGTTGTTAGGGACATTTGGGATTAACATTTTCAAGACTTCCTTCTCCATCCAGACCTCCATCCCTGCGTGCACAAGAGGTACAGCTCCACCAGAAGCAGCTGCATTCACACCCCATCAGTGGCAAGACAGACGCAGGTTAGGGATGCCAAAATATCAGCCACATGATTTCTTTACACCAAATAGTTCAAGCGCATATTGTAATTAAGCACAAACTTAGTCTAGGAATCAGCAGGATTTAACCATGCACACGGGTGAACGTTGGTCCACGCTTCAGTCCTCTCCACTCGTTCTCCAGTACCTGGCTCTTTTCTACTGTTTTCTCTTGGTGAAGGTTTGGGGTCCCAATTCTGCACTGTACTCGAGTTTTATATCAATAACTCTGAAAACAGAACCTGAAATGTGCAACGACATCTCTGACACCTCACTCCATTGAGTTATTTTCAGTTTATGTATTTCATAGCCAACTCTGCTCTCACACAAAGGCTTTTCAGCACCTACGAGCGTATGTTCTGTGGTCATCACTCCCATATCCAAATTTAAACTTCTGCTACAGAAAATGAGCTGAACCCAAAGCTGTCCAGTTAAAGCTACTCCATTCGTTGGCTGGGTTTGATCCAAAGCAACCACAAGTTCAGATGACTGGATCCATCAGTTTTGGTGGCCTTTGGAGCAGACCAGGGGCTGCCACAGCTGGAAGAAGAAAAACCTCTTGGCCATTCCCCCCTCTGTCCTGCTGTTCCCAGGGCTGCTTGTCACCTTCCCACCTTCCTCCAGTGACACATCACCAAAGACACAATTTGATGTGTTCTCCCCCAGACGAAGATCTTTCTGACCTCCAAACCCTACAGGCCTAAGAGGTGGTGTTTGCTAACGCCCTGCATCCCTTTGTGCTCTCGTCTGCAGGAGAGACACCCCTGGGAAGCCCCCGAGCGCCGTTCCGCAGCCCTGAGCCCCCCCCACCCATCAAGCCAGATCTAACAAAAGTGGGTTTGACACAAAAGACCAGCAGGAGCTCAGTTTTTAAGTAGTCCACATCTGTGCTAATGTTGGTCCATCCCCTGTATTTAAAAGATGACTAATTAAGAAGGTTCTTTTTTGTTTTTTTAACCATTTATTTTATTTATCCTATGGAAGATACTGAATGTGGATCAGCTATTTATTTTCTAAATCTGTTCTAATTCAAAATCTTAAAATAAAAAAAAAATAAAAGTTTCATGTTACTATGGAAAATTCATATATAGGTAAAACCCTCTCATTTAAATTTGATCCTGGACATTTATAGTCTAATCCCAGATATTTCTAGAATATTCCCTTCATCTTCCAGATTTCTTTTTCTGCAAGTGTCTTTTTATATTCCTTTAAACATTACAGAGTTTCACAACATGAGCTCCCACTATTCAATTAGAAACCTATTACAAAACGCACAAAAGAGCTTAAAAAAGAAATCCGTCAGAATATAAACAATTTTCAAAACATGATTTTTGCTCTTGCTGAATTAGTAATAACAGAACAGGCACTTAAAATGAGGACATTAAAGATTCTTTCCATTTGTATCCCTTATTTTGTTTACTTTTTGAATTTTGCACAGTTGTGACAATGACAAGATATTCTACAGTTTCATTTCTGTTTATACTACGATCAGGATCCAATAAAATCACTATGCAGCCGTATGCTGCTTTGTTTGTTATAGGCACTACAGGGGAACGTTTAAATTTCATTTCTGTTTTCACTTCATTTCTATTGTCTGTTTGTTTTGATTTTAAAAAAATAATCTTTAGCAAAAACCTTGTCCTTGTTTGATTCAAAGGCGGCTCTTTAAGGATGGAAAAAGCAATACACGGGGCTGTCTAAGAAAAGAAGAAACCTTTTTTTTTCTGAAGGTCTGGGTTTGGAGAGGTTTTCCTATGGGCACTTCTAAGAAAAAGAAACCAATGAAGACACACATTTGTAGTTCATATTTAAGGTGGTTTTAGCTGAGACTAAGAGGAGCGTGTTCCTAAATCCCCGCTCAGTCCTGCTCAGAGTTAGGATGGACCCCGGCCCACCCGCCTGCCTGTGGAGCATCCTGAGCTCAGCACCAGGGAGAAACGCTTCAATCGTTTGCAATTAAAGTTTCATCAGAACCCAGATATTTTCTGGAACAGTCTCTTTTCTAGAACAAGTGCCTGTCAGCTCTGGTCCCTTGCATAGTTAAGCCCCGAGCCATCCCTGTAGGTGAGCACAAGCTCCAGCACCACCCGCCTTTCTCCACTGAGCAGGAGATTCACCCTTCATTATGTCATTACACTCCTTCTCTGCCAAGGGAGAATTATTCTGTTTAACAGTTTTCCTATTTCTCTGTTCAGTCTCATTTTAGGTGTTTCCCCCTAAACACCATTTGGGGGTAAGATCTCTTCCTCAGGGGAAACTCTCCATCAGCACCTACTAAAGAGCCATTTGCACACTGGGGAAAAGTCCAATGGGTTTTTTTGGGGGGCTTGTTTTTTTGTTTGTTTGTTTATTGTTGTTGGTTTGGTTTGGTTTTTGTTTTCATTTTTTTTGTTTTGTTTTGTTTTACAGGCAGTGAGGGAAAAATACATTTTCCCCCTACTCCTATGAGTAATATGGATATCAAGGAGTCGCAGGGCCTCGGGCAGGTTATAGCATCCTACTACTTCCTTATGTGCCTAGGTTTAGGCACTCATATACAAAAACTGTAGTAATTTTTCTCAAATTTCTTTGCATCATCTGCAAGCTCATAATTGGCAAAGAAGTAATCCTCTGATCCAGCGACTCTGGAGTACACTTGTGAGCAGAGCTTTTTCAGTAACAGTAATGGATTGACACGATTTCACTAGAAACATCATGTGTCACTGGGGTATTAACATTAGCTTAGGCTTCCAAATTTGATATTTCAAGTGCACTTAAATAACCTCTGAGAGTTTTTGAAGCTAAATTAAGTTATTAAGTGTGGCTCCATTGCACATTGACTTTGTTTCAACAGCATTATGTAAAAAATTCCCTCTTGACTGAGATACCTCTATTTTCCTTATTTTAAAAAAGAAAAATAAAACCAAAGAAAGATTTCTGGCATGAAACATCAGCTGACAGCAACAAAATAAACCATTATCCTAAGGATTTACAGGTTTGCAAAATGTGAAATTTAAAACAAGGGGCAGAACACTTAATGAAAAACACTGCAACCTTAAGACTAAAAGCAATTAAGTCACAACTAATAGTGCAATTAGCATTATCTCACAGCTTCCTTGGCTGCTAGCTTTTGTCAAGCTCGCATTTTGCTTCCAGCCTTGATAAATCACAGTCACCTGCTGCTTCACTTTCTGGTTCTCATGCACAAACCTGACAATATCGTGTCAGTCACATAAGCATTTGGGATAGATGATCTTCTGTCTGGTTTGGTTTTTTTTTTTTTTGTTTTTTTAACATAAAAGGTCGGGAACTGCAACATCCCGGAGAGCAGACACCCGTGGAACACAGCCCGTGCCAGGGAGGACGTGCCGAGGGGTCCACGCCGCACGCTCACCGGGCTGACCCACGCAGTGCGGTGGGGAGCAGCCTCCAGTCTCCAGGTGGTGGGTGCCCCCATCACTGGAAACGCTCACGGTCAGGTTGGACGGGGCTCTGAGCAACCCGATCCAAGAAGTCCCTGCTCACTGCACGGGGTGGGACTAGATGAGCTCCGAAGGTCCCTTCCCACCCAAACCATTTGACGAGGATTCTGTGACTCCAGTCCTGCCTCCTACCCAAATGAGGGCTCACTTCCGAGGGTGCTCAGGTCCCTCAGGCCAGTCAAATGCCTCATTCAGTCGAGTCCTGAGACCCTCCCCAGGCAGCGGCACCCACCTTCCTCCAGCTCTGCAAAGAGATTGCCTGATGCAGTTCTGCAACGGGCTGTGTTTCCTCCAGGCTCTGCTCGTCCCATCGCCTCCTCGTTATTCCCACGTGCCCACGGCCATCGCTTCGTGCTCCGGGAAGGCAGAGCAAGGACACTGGAGGTGCCACGGGACAGCAAGGGACCCGCAAGTCTCCTTGACTCGGGATCTTTGCCTTGGCAGAGGGAATTACCCATCCCAGCCCTGGAGCTGCCCAGGGCAGCACGTTGCTTGTGCACGGACTGACAACTGCAACAGGGATGAGCGGAAAGCTGATGTGTACACACATGCTCAGGAAGTAGTTTATTTGCTTTAGAATTTGTAAGAGTACTTAAGCCTTATGCCAAACTATGAACCATGATCTGAGAAGAGAAACATTAAGTTCTTCACTTTTACCCTGCAAGACAAGGGTGGGGAAGATCTGATCAAGGCTGGATCAGGCCCCAACTCCATCCTGCACAGCCTGTGGTCAGATGAAATCTCTTTTCTGTCTTCGCTTTCTCTTCTCTGCCCTTTTTCTGCTTTTTTTCAAACCTTCTTCAACACCACACTATGACCCACCCTGCCCTGTCCTGCTTTGTCCCTTTCTCCACTGGGATGAACAAGAAAAATACTGCAGAGCAACGTTACCCTTAGACAGATCTGCACAGCACTTGGGGCACAGCACAGGCGTGTGAGCACAGCCACAGCGTGGGGCAGGAAGGATGCACAGAGATGCTCAGAACAGGAACTACCAGCCTGATTCTGCAGGTTTGTGTTTTCTCAACTACAACAACCAAACTTCAATTTCTAGCAGCTGAAATAAGGATCGAGCTCACCCAGAAGCCCTGGCTTGGAGTTCAACATCAGCTTAAGAGAATCAGACTGTTAGATTTAATGTTCCTTTCATTTTCCTAGGCTATTTCTTTGGAGTGAAAAGGGCAAAGATTTTGTTTGCAGGACCCAAGAATGACAACAGATCTGCCCCCAAATTCAAAGCAAAAGGAAATCTGTTAGAATAAATAAGTACCACTTTGTGTACTGTGACTTATCAGTGCAGAGCATGCTTCAGCCTAATCCAAACCACAGTGAAGTCGAGGCAAGACCAATGACTTCAACAGGACGTGAATGAGACCCTTCAAATCTCACACAAGCATGTGCTCACTATTAAGCGTTACTGCATGGGAGCCATAAACCATGATGCAAAAGGCCCAGTGCAATAGTGGGAACTTCACACAAAGCAGGGAAATTGTCGGCATAGTCAGAAGAGAGAGGTCTAGCAAATGGCCTTAGCGTAGCATTGTAACAGTAATGGTCTTCCTGAGACACAGAAAGAGGCAATAAAGGCATTCACAGGAGTAGGATTTTGGTATGCGCTGTCTAAGGGATATCTGTGATGAATCACGCCGAGTTATTGCTGTAGAATTGCAAGTTATTTTCCAGCCATCTTTCAAATCCAGTGAAAGGAAAGAACTTCCTCAAGTGTGTTTATCTAATTGCCAGCAATTTCCATTGCAAGGCAGATGAAATAAATAAACACAGGGTAGAGGCAGTTAACAGAATCCAGAGCATCTCATAAACAAACATTAACATCATGGCACTTTTTGCAGATTCCTGTTTCTTGGGAAGGGGCCGCTTTGGGCAGCACAGCTGAATCACAGGCTGCTTTGAGTGACTCGTGCTGTTGAATACACCAAAGGGCTACAAATAATGCTCCTACCAAAGCAGGAAAAAGGTTGTAAATTCCGATTGTAACTTACATGGCTGTTGAGCAAACTGCTTTTGTGTGATGTAATCCCTTCATTTTTTTGTAGGTTTTCAATCGCCATTTCAAGCTAAAGAAAATGTGCACAGGGGAAAAAAAAAAAAAAAAAAAAGAAAAAAGAAAAAGAAAGGAAATCAGATAGTTAGCAACAGCCAAGATTATTATTTCTTTATTAATATTTGAATGATTAATGCTTTATATCAACAGGCTTGTGAAAAAGAGGTACAGATGAGGCACAGTCCTTATGGATGAAGCTGCAGAGACGTTATTGTATGGCATGCACACTAGCAACACAGCAAGAATCCCTATTACGGTGAAAGAGCGAGACCAGGGCACTTTTGATCTGCCACTATATGCATTGCCCATTTATAAAAGAGAAGCAGTTTTCCATCTCCTTTCCCTTTCATGCCTAGACCAAACCACCACCAAACAGATACGTTGCAGCAGGTCAGAGGAGATTTGCTACAAAGAAGGTGCATTTTAGCCAGATCTTTCAGGGCAAACTGGAAGTAATGACTTTGGTTATTTCTACTTCCTAACATTTTGACAAAAAACTAATGGCAACTAAATAAACCAGTGGCACAAGGAGGGTTGACACACAGAATGGGTCAGCTGGAATGGATAAGAGCTCTTTGCTACTGAAGAGAACTGCAAAGAGACTCTGAAGGAAGAAGACAGGCTTCAGTTAAGTGAGCTTCTTCCCGTGAAGACAGGCTGGCACATCTTGGTGCTACTTGTGCTCATTTCCACTGATCTCAGAGGTTCTGCAAGCGGGGTCACGGTGAGGCATTCCGGGCCCTGAAGAGCCCCCTTGCTTCCCTCTGTCTAGCTTCTGTTCTATACTCAGCCCAGTGATGCCTGCTGCCTTGTGCTCAGACCCTCTCCTGGACCCTTCCTGCCTTCTCCTTTCTGCTACTGGGGCTCCCTTGGCAATCTCTGGCAAACTACTTAGCAGCTACCAGAGCTCCAGTGCTCCCGAGCACAAGGTTTTTGCAAGTGAGGAATGAAAACAAAACAAAACAAAAACCCCACACTCCACATTAAGGGACTGGCAGGAGCAGACCCCTGTTATCTGTGACCTGTTAGTGCAGGCAGGACAAAGCAGCACACACCGACCAGTAAAGCTTGCAGGCAGCAGCTATCTCTAGCATCTGTCCTCATTGTACATGCGTGGTCATGCACTCATCCGTAGGCACATCTACAAAGCTTTGCACAATGATCTGGGAGAACAGAGCTAATCAGATCTAACTTCTGAAAGATCATTCAACCACCAAAGACACGGTCTGTGCCATATCCCCGCCTGAACGTGACACTCTGATCCGAACACCTCCAGCTCACGTCCCTTGGTTTCCATCCAAAAGCGCCACCATTGTGGCACTTTTCAAGAAGTGGAATCACGGAATTCAAAAAAGGGTCAGGCTAAGACTATGTGCCAGTGGGGTTCTTTTTTGAGAAAACTGTCTTAACACACTGTGATGTACCATGAGGAACTGAAGACTGATTGCTGATGCAGCCTTCGGGAAATGAGTCAGTCAGTGATAGAGGGAGACACCATTTCCTTCCTCTGTTCAAGGAGCAGCACAGTGCCAGTTGAGCAACACCTCTTATGCAAACACTGAAACACTGCCTGGCCTGCTGGCATTTTGGTAAGTGTCCCATGCAAATGGACACCTTGCATCTGCAGAAAAAAATATTACAGGGGCAAGAATAAAAGCTCTTAAACAGCCCTGCACAAAGGTGAGGAGCTCTGAGGACCCACTTATGGGAGGTCTCAGGGATTTCCCCACTTGGTATAGCCTACTTTAAGATGAATAGTGCTCTATTGGTACAGACTATGAATGAGACTGCTTCATGGGATGTTTCAGCCCATTCGAAGAAGCAGAAAAACATCATTATTCCAGCAGATATGGAAGATGGGTTTCTTTAAATGTTTGAAGATTTTATTTCAGTTTACATACAAAACCAAACATCCCTCGATCCCCTGAGGCAGCTCTTACACCATTGCTAATTCTGAAGCACTACCTTGTTCCCAGTTTCCTCTGACGAGACTCTTTGCTTTCGAGGCCTCAGTGCCAGCTCTGCCTCAAGCATTCAACACCCGCCAAGCCCTCTTGCTTCCCCATTCCTTGCAGCTGCCTCTCACCTTGCCAAGCCCTCACACTGCTGGCCACTTTGACATCCACCCCCTTCGCACTACAGCCCCAAAGCTACAGGCAAACGCTGCGGCTTCCTCGGCCACATCTGCATGAGCTGTACTTTTCTTTCTCTCCCCAAAGCTCTTAATCCTGCCCCACATACATTTTGCCAGGACTACAGCCTCTCCGGCCTCTTTAACACCAGCATTTCCTATTCTGTGTTTAAGCAAAACACTGCAACGAAACATAATGTTCCTACCCATTGATTTGATTTGATTCATTGCTCTCCTTAAGCCTTCCACTATCTGTCCAGCCATTATTATGTGAAATTCAAAGCAGTTATCATGGCTCTGCTCTATCCCCCTCTGACTCCGATCTGTGCTGAAAGAAGTGAACACCACACATAGCTGCATCCCTGTACGGCCTTCGATCCGCTATTTCACCCTCTTAAGCCCCTCCACAAGAGCCACAGACATTCTGTGTTAAAATACCTTCAAAAAGTTCATTCCTAAATGCAACAGAGTGAATTTATTTCAGATGCATTCTCATAAAGGTCACTTCCTAAATCCTTTTTTTTTTTTTTTTTTTTTTTTGCTGAACAGCTTTATCTCATGTGATAGACAGCTACAAACTAAATCTGTTCATGGAACATTTCTATTGACATGTATTCTACTCGGGCTTTTTACATTTTGCCCATCACCATGGAAATTTAAAAAAATACAACAAAAAAACCAAACCCCAAACCCAAGAGTAATATTGTGCAGCTTTGCAAGATGCAGTCCCACGCAGGTGACAAGATCAGCAGCTACTTCCTTCAAAATAACAAGCTTGAGCAAAAATCAGAAGACGGCCCAATGCTAGATTTTAACTATGAACAGATAAAATACTCACACAATTCTCATGCCAGAAACGAACCCCAGCTAATCCATGTGCATCTGTCATTTTCTCTTCCACCCAAAGTTAAGGACTTTTCCCCTACTTCTACCTAAGGCAGAGCACATTTACTCCAGGATCAAAGGCAACCTTTCAAGGCACAAAGGTGCAAAACCCATGAAGTCTATACTTTAAAACTCTGTGGGAAAAGAAAGTACAATCTAACCAGCCGGATTTTCAAGAGTACTCAGTAGCAAATGGCTCCTGTTTTTCTCCCTGAGTGGTGCTGTTCACATTTTAAAATCTGGCCACATAGACTGAATTACACCTACATTTGTAATTATGTTTACATACAAACACATAAACACACATAAGTCAGTCTGGAAAGGAAGGTGAGCAGTGTCCCAGAAAATGAGCTCCAACCCACTCCTGGCAGCAGCTGCCTCTAAGGGCTGGTAGATCCTCAGATAAAAGCCCTGGTAGCTTCTAACTGTGAAAAGGCTGTTTTGGGTTAATAGTTGTATTCCCCTGAGTCCCACACAGCTGTACAGCTGTGCTTCTAGCAACCTGGCACCTCGACTGACAGTTGGAGGGACATGATTAAAATAAATTAGAGCTCTAAAACATTTCTGTTTGATCAGTATTATCCCTAAAATACATTTTCTGTAACATATGGCATGGATGGAATACACAATGGTGTAGGAAATATATACAAAGATTTTTGATCACTGTGCACTTGGCATGATCAGCTTGACATACCTTATGTGCTAATTATCCACTGTGTTAATAATGGATTTTTCAGGTCTCTTCATAATTAAAAATATATTGATAGATTTCTTTATTTTGGGTAAGCGAAGTCCCATGTTCATATCTTATACTTATTAGAAAATGTAAATATAGACAATTCTTTTGAATTGGAAAGCCAAAACATTTTGCTTGGGGGAAAAAACCAAAACCCCCAAGAATTTTGCCTTATCTCCATGCTGCATAATTTCAGTGATCCACTCAGAAAATTTGACACGTTTCTGCCCACCAGCAAGAGAGACATTCCAAACCCCCAATGAAAAATATCTGTAGCACACCAGTGTCTATTCTCTCCCTTGCATTCGCATGGCACATTATACAGACATATACACAGCGATAATAGGAAGCTTTTTTTTTTTTCTGAAGGCTTTTCAGTTCCCTTGGAATAATTCCTGGCCCCCGAGCTGCAACATCTGCAGTGCTACATACCGTTGCTGGAGAGGAGCGTGAAGTATGTGACAGAGAATGTCTAGTGTTTTCCATCCCCCCATGAATGAGATAGGCTCCCGAGCCGGAGAGGATCGGACTTCCCCCAATGTCCATGGTGATGCCCACCATGTTGTGAGAGGGAATGGCTGTAGGAGAGGATGCCGCTGTAGTCACCTGAGCTCCACCTCCCTGCGGTTCGAAATAGGATGCTGCGCTGCTGGGGGCGTAAATCTGAGCTTCGGTGTTGTAGGAGTAGGCGGCTCGTCTGCCAAAGGAATGACAGGGTCAGGAGATGGAGAAGAGTTTGCAGATCGGATCTCATGGGCAACAGCTTCTGAAACCCGGGCCGCCTTTCAACAACAAAAAAAAAAAACCTCAACTCCGCTGTCGGTGGGATTTGCTCCACTGACATTGAACCCCGAAAGTCAGCCGTGACAGTGTTGATCATTCCTGAGACAGCCCCCGAGCCCAGGCCCGCGGCCTCGGCCAGAGCGCCGAGCCCGGGAGTCGCCCCGCAGGCACCGACCTCGGCGCAGAGGGTGAGGGCATCCCGGAGGGCAGCAGGTCCAAAGCAGGGGGCACAGCAGGCAGGAGGAAGAGGAGACCTTACCAAACCCCCTTCTTCCTCGAGCAGTCATGCTTTGGTTCCTAAAGCCACCCCACCTCACCACACACACAACGGGCTGGGCAGAGGAAAATACCGGAGCCTTTTCTGTGGCAGGGTTCCCGGGAGAACAGTCCCTCCATGAGGACACCACCTCCTCCGAGGCTGGAGACTGAAACTACCCCCGTGCACACGCCGTAGCATGTGAAGTGGTTGTTTCTCCTCTCCCTCCTTTTAATGTCGGGCAGTGCCAGCAGCAGCACCGGGGTGGAAGGAGCCTGGGAGGAACAAAGGGCTCAACCCAGCTGGGAGGGGAACAGGGCTCTGCTACAGCCAACAAGAGGCTCTTACATGGTTCCATTGGTATAAACAGCTTCTCCTCCTTCCACATACTGGACCTGGGATGGATATACGTGCTGCACGGACTGCACCTGAAACAAGCATCATAAACTCAAGTTACGGACATGTTATTGCCTAGGAACAGCGGGAGAAATTGCATATTACATCCTTAAACAACTTTCAACCTTCCCTTGACATTTAGGCTTTCTTTTTAAAAGAAAAAGAAAACAAAGCAAACCAAAACCCCACATGCTTAAGAATCCCAAAGGACGTATTTATTTTAAAAGGTCAAATTAAAATAAATAAATAAGTAGTTGCTCCATGAGCAGTGGAAACAATGGAGCTGGGTTTCCTCTGCACACATGTCTCAGGGCTGGTTCTCCGCTGACTAATAAGGGTGAGATCATCCTGCAGCCTCTCCTTCGGAGAGGAGGTTGGCAGTGTCCATCTGCACCCCAGTCCCCTTTTCCACTGCCCTGGGAAGGATGTAATTGCCCTCTGTCGAGTTTTTTTTCTGAAACTGAGCAACCAAATAAAAAGTTGCTAGAGGAAGAAGTCAAGAGAGTCAGACTCACTGTCCACATGAAGCAGCACCATGTGCCTGGTTTCTTAGGAAACAAGGACTGTAAAAGGCAAAGTTCAGATAAATAAAAACACTTGCATGATTCTCTGTCACCTAACCCTTCCTATGAAGCCACATGCAGTCAGTACATTTATTTGTGTAATTAAAAAAAATCCCAAACACTTTGCCTCTAAAAAAATCTTTACAGAGGAGAATTGCTTTTCAATGGCAATTAAAAGCATCCATCAAATCTTCAAATGTATGAACGACAACTGCTACAGTAAAGGTTCTTTCTAAACTTTAAATATCTCAAGGGTTTCTTTTGCCATCAGTCTACGAAAGGAAGAGAGATGGAGAAAGCCGTTCTCACAGTGATCTCCAGTTCTCTAATTGCACACAACTCTTTAATTAAGAGCATGGATTTTTCTAGGCAGCTATCTGGCACAGTTTCAAATGTCGTGTGGGACGTGGGCTCCTGTTGACACGTGGGTGCCTGCGTGGTGTCTCACCCTGGAGATATTACCTGTTGTGGAACCTGCTGAACTCTGGGAACAGAGATTTGCTGCATCTGCGCTCCTTTGGGAGCGGAGCCTGCTGCTTGGACCAAAACCCTCTGAAAGAAGAAGATATAGTAACATACACTTACTTTCAGTCTGTAAAACAGGTGCGTTAGGTATTTTCTTTCAAATTTTCATGGAAAGCTTGCCTCCTACCCCAGTACCCCTTACTTAGCATCCCCGCAGTCCCCATCCTTCCAGTGCAAACCTGCACCAAACACCAGCCTGAACTCAGTACCCCAAACTTGGGAAAAGCTGGATCCACATTTTCTGACATGGACCACCTTTAAGTCTCCACGCAAGGAAATAACAGCTAATGGCTGATTGGCAGGAGGAGCTCAACATGACGTTCAGTCACAGCTAAACAAGAACCACTCCTCACACATTCACATTTTCCTCCTACGGCTGCAAAGTTCTTCTCTTCCAGCTGCTATACCAAACCACACTCTGCCTCCTGCCACAAGAAATTGCGCTCTCCAAGGCGCCACAGCACTTAAGGTTTCTACCAGCATGAGAGCTCAGATAGTTTTGCATCTCCTTTTAGTGCCACCAAGGGCAAAGAAGCGCTTCGTGTTGCCTTGCGGTGCTCACTCTGTCCTCTACCTCCGCACTGTCATTTCCATCGTCCCCCTGCTCTTTGTATTACACTCAGCATTCCATTTGACATTGGACACACATCTCGTAGAGTGCTCAGCACCTTGCAGATCCAGCACAACAAGCGTGGGGACATGGTGGATGAAAAGAAACGATTCGCTGAGCACCGTGAGAACAGAGCCAAATATCAGTATGGCCTTTTAAACTGATGAGGACCTTCTCCAGGGAGACAGTCATCCTCTGTGGCTTGAGGCTTTAAAAATACCCAGCAGACTGGGCCAACAGAACAAGAAGTTGCAAATCCTAGAAGAGACCTTGACAATTACTGGCTACCTTATACGTATATATTTATGATTTTTAGCCCTCTGACACCCTCCCAACATGCCTTTCACCGTGCCAGAAATTCTATTCTAGCAGAACTATAGGAATACAATAATTGCCCAGATTTCCAGGCAGCCTCTATATCACCGGTCTCCAGGCTGACCTTCAGGAAGTCTGGATACATTGGAGATCCTGCAGCTGAGCTAGCCGTAAGGACACGTACACTTATGCCAGCCATCACTTTGTCCATTTTCTCTCCAAGAGAGGCTGTAACCAGTGCATAATGGGAACATTATAAGCCTTTTTTCAAGTTAGGCCTTGGCAATGCCACCCAAATCAAAGTCTCAGCAAGATCCTTTCCTTTCTCCTACTCTTGACCTACTCTCTGTCATTGCTTTTACTGAATGACACATCTCCTTTGACACAGCTGCCCAGCTCAGCTACTTGTGTAATTTGTCACTGCCTGTCCAGTTGCTCCTACTACCTTCCAACCAAAAAAATTAATCATCTCCAACCTGTAAGATGAGGCCATCCTGTTCATACAGCCTTTGCTCACACTGAAAGGTAGACCAGCGATCAACAACACCAAAGGCTTCAGCCTCACACCAGTCATGCTGCCAGTAGTTCATTCCTAGTATTTTCTTTGTCCTGCTGGTGAGAGGAGAAGGCTCTGGGTGCTCCTCCTCTTCAGCAATCTTCCATGATCCTCTGTGTCTTCCTTAATCCATGGCATTCCACTCAATACTCCGTGTCATGATGACAGCACCGGGAAAGGCTGGAGGGGTAATTTCATAATCCAAAGCCGATGGGTTTTCTAAACTTCTCTTTGACTGTTGTCACAGTCAAATTCACACTAATGACTGACAACTCCTGAGAAACATGACACTACTGATCAGCGTTATCCACATCACTACGATACGAACAAGAAACATCACCCAGAGAAATCGAAGATGGGAAGGCTGAGAGATGACATGCACCGAACCACACGATGTGAATGTCCACGTCTCCTAGTGAATCAAATGCTTCTACCAATTCACAATTTTTAATTGTTCCTTTTCATCAGCATCCAATGGCAGCTACTTCTGCTCACTTGGGAGTTGGAGAAGGGTGTAGCTAAGTTACACCCACCCATCCTCTTATCCCTCCAGCTTCCTGCAACAGAAACTTCTTCTGATAGTTCCCCAAAAGGCATAAAAAGGAACCAATTTTACTTAACCCTTCCCATTTTGCACTACGTAGTTTTCATTCATCAGTTGAAGCTATCATTCCTCTCCTATCCAGAGACCTTCCAAGTGCATCATGTCCAGGTATACGAATCATGCATCACCCCTATCCCCAATTTAAAATGTCAGGATCCACCTACCGAAGGAAGAGACCAGCATGTGGCTCCTCCACCCTCTCCTTGCTTTAGCACTCCCCCCACCTCTTCTCTCTTGAGCTCGGTACCTTATTTGCAGAGATGCCTTTAAGGACTGTTTCATTTTCTCCTGCTTTTATTGACACACCAAATAATGACAACAGGATATTACGCTGAAGCAAGCACCAAACTGGCATGAAGTGACTTCCTTGGGTAGCTACGTTAAAATCTAAATCCCATGTTTTAAAGCTTGCCTATCTGTAGGGCTAACACATTAAATATCTAAGGCCTTTATCAACACAAAGTCCAGCAACAGGTTCTCCCAATGAGCTGATTAACAATCCTCTCTCTCATATAAAAACCCTGGATTAAAATACAGCTGCCAGTCAAACAGGGCTCTTCTCCATGGCAACGGCATTTCCAGCTGTGCATACGTTACCTGCTGAGACGCTGGCACTGGCTGCACTACCGGGGCTTGGGCTGATGCAGAAGTGTGAAGTGCCACAGAAGCTGCTGAGTCTGATCCACCCTCTGAACTCTGCATGCTCACTGCTGGGGAGAGCAGAGGGGACATCAGCCGGGGAAAGCACAGCTACACACCGCGGCAAACGCCCGAGGAACCGTGGCTAAAAGGAACAAAATCCCAGTGGAAGATCCAGGGGAAGTGCTAGGAAGGAAGGTAGCTACCTTCCTACACAGAGGACTCTTTTTAGTCTTGGAGCTAATTTTAATGCGGTATTATATTAAGAAAAAAAAGAAAGTTGCACAATTGTTCCACAGAAAGGAGAGGGAAGGAACAGAAAATGCCCTTCTAAATATAACCAAAAAGTAGTGCTGGAAAATTATTGTGTCATAGTGAGGATAACTTCAGATCTGGAAGAGCAAGAGCATATTTTTAAAATAATTTTTCTTCCCCCTCTGCCTTATCATGTTTAACTACTGCAAAAAAAAAAAAAAAAAATTAATCAAATCTAAGCACATGCCTGGAGCTTAGCTAATGCTTTCATTTGGAAAGTGAGGTGGTCAATTCGGGTTTATAATCACAACCAATAATCAAACACGAATAGCAGCACGGAGATTCATCATCATTTTAAAACCCCACGCCACCCCCCCAAAGAAACAGTTCCCTCCCATCCGTCCCCTTGCCCCAAAACGCCACCAGCCTCACAAAGGTCCCCAAACGCAGACACACCACCCCGCCCCGGTCCTGCTCCCACGCTGCAACCCTCCGGAGCCGATGCCCTCAGCATCCTCCGAGTCACCCGGGTCCCCCTGTCCCGGCACTCACCCCGCGTTGCTCAGCCACCTTGGGAAGCATCCCAAGGCCACGCAGGAATGTCCTGGGGATGGAGAGATGGCACGGGAGCAGGGCTGAGCGCCTGCCCTGCAGCACAGGCTCTCCATCCCCTGGGTCTCCCCGCTCCCTCACGGCAAAGCCCAGCAACCGAGGGTCGCTGCGACGGTGCTTCCCGAGAGCAGACAATGTCATTTGGGGGTTTCTGATGCGATATGGAGGGGTGGGGGAGCCTTTTTTTCTCAGTTTCTTGTGAAAGTTCCTGTTTAAAAAACTATTTTAGGAGGGTCTCTTTTGTCACTTCAAGACTTCAAGATTCAGAAACACCCAGATTTTGAGCAGTGTCATTTCTCTTTTCTCAGCCTCGCTGCTCAGTGTAACGTAGCCTCCAAATAACAGCATGAAATATTTTCTGGTTTAATTCCCTCCTCTACTCAGTATTTAAGCTTTTTCCTCAACTTTGTGAAAGTTAAGAGGCAAAAGGAAAAATGAGAAACTAAGGGACACTGAACCCTGCTCATTTGATAGCTCTTTGCAGTGAAAAAAAATGCAAGGGGGGAGATGAAATTACAAAAACTGTAATCGTTTCTTCTGCTTCAGCTACTGAAAAAAATCCCCCAATATTTAGATTCTTCATAAAACAGGTTTTTAAGATTTTTTTCCACTCAGTGCTGACCCGATATTCCCATGCTACCCATTAGCAAATTACAATAATTCCTCTCCCGACTTCCCTGAAACCCCGCAGCATGCAAGTAATTTTCTCTTTCACATCATCTTTCTTGCATCCAGGAGAAAAAGCAGATACAGAACTCACATAGTCCCTGCTCCAAACACAGCTCCCAGATTAATCTAACAAGCCAGAAACGAGGCAAAGAAATTCAGTCACTATTTATCACCAGTTGTGTCCCTCCGTAGGCCTCAAGGCTGCCCGCAGCAGACGCGCACAACCCCATTCCCTGCAGCTCCTCTATAAAAAGGCAGCACCTGCTTCTCCCCATCACTGCCTCTCGGCACAGTTTTTAGCCAAAACTTCTTTGTGAGAAGATACCAGTTGCAATAGTGCTGTGGGCTCATGAAAATAATAATTCTCGCAGTAAATTAATGAAATAGCCTCTCGCCTGTTCCAGCCCGAGATTATTTGCAACTAAACATTTAGCCAGCACTGCTGGCAAAGGAGGCAGGTTTATAAAACTTGTGTGAAGATGCTCAGGCAGAAGAGAGGGGTCACTTTTAGAATACATATTCTCCTAACTTTTGCAAGAGTGTTTTATTGTCTCTTGTTTGTGCCCAGGGCTCCAGTTCACAGCTTTCCAGGGTTTTGTGAGTGGAACAATATAGCATGGTGAGGTTACAGAAGAAAGGTGGGTACGTTGCCAAATATATTTTAATGCTCTATTTGAGAATGGTTCTGGCAGGGACAGATCTTGCCATTTCAGGTCTACAGAAAGGTCTCTTTTCAAGTGTAGTTATAATCAGAAAAGGACACTCAGGTGCTATCTCAAAATTACCACCTACTCATCTCTGCTGATAAATTTTGCCTTCTGGTTTCCCTCAGTGACCAAGAGAGTCCAGCGAGAGGCAGGCAGGGTGGAAGATGAATTGTCTGCTGCCAAAATAAATCATCAACATTATTTTCAGATTTGTTACAAAACGCAGGCTCTGTTAATGATGACAACCAAGCCAGACACAAAGGCTCCAATGAAATCTGCAGCCGGTACTTCCAGGCAAGGTAGACAGACACAGACGTACTGGACCGCCGAGGCACATGTACAAGACTTCTTATTATTTTGTTTATCAGTGAAACATCCCGGATAAAGCATAATTCATTTCCCATTAAAGCCATCCTGTGCTTCCTGAGAATTGGAGACACAGATACGTGTGCACCATCTGCTAACGTTAATTTGTGCTGACGAAAAGCTGACAACGTAAACAGAATTCCTACGCTCTGAGAAACCACTGCAAGGTGTTACAACGCTTTGCCGAAATCCTGGCAGCACAGCTACCAAGTGAGCCGGCACCTGAGCCAAGGCTCCAGAGGATGGATAAAGCACTGGCTTTCAAGGACGAGAGGAATCGTGGCATCTGAAGTCTCGCTCTTCTTGGGAGTTGGAGTGCAAAGTAAGGAACATCCTTGTAGCTCCTTAGCGAACGTCGGCTGCTGGAGCTCGGCCCTTTGCCTGTGCAGCTCCTTGGCAGTTCTGCCACATCCCGAAAGCAAATGCCCATGAAAGGACTCGCTGCTCTCCCTCAATCTCATTTTTCACCTCCCACAGAGGAGGAAGTTTCACAGTGTTCTTGATCAGACTCTCCTATAGAGATTCAGTGGCTCAAAAGTGACCCCTCCTGTTTCCCAAAGATCTAAGATTCGCTGCCTTCCCCTCAGACCTGGTCTAAGGAAGAGAGGTTCATCCCAGCCATGCTTGCTTCCCACTCCTGGCGGGGGGAGGACGCTGTAGCTCTCTCGGAGCAGAAGTGACTGACAGAAGCTATTAAAAGGTGTCTCGTGGCTTCTGACAGCCGGTGAAAGCCTGACAGCTTGGCAGCCCCTCTGGTACTGGGGAGTTTGCACAAATCGAGAAGCTAATTAGTAGTCAACAAAGCCACTGGTGGGTCACAGAGAGGATCGGCATCCACAGTTGATTTTCCCAGCCCTCAGGCTCCTTACTGGGTTAAGAAGAGCAAAAAGACAAGTCAGTTATGCAAGCGGAATGAGCAGACGGGACCTGACCATGCAATCAGGAATAACATCGTGGTGAGAAGGGCCTTGCTCAAGACCTTGGCGTTTCAGGTAGGGACAAGTTTAAAACGCTGGCTGCTCAACGTGGCATGTGATGTCACGTGCAGCGTCACAACTGTGGAAGGCATTGCAGAAATCTGGATCCCAGGTTGCATCATCACTGAATGAATCAGGCAGATAACAAGGCTGCTGCCTCTGGAAACCTTCTGTTTACACACAGCTATCTCGGTATCCAAGCACACAGCGGTGACAGGAAAGGAAATCCAGAAAAAAACTAATAACTTCTGGGTGCTATTTCTGGTTCTGCCACCAGCTTGCTCTGTGACCTTGAACAGGATGCTTCCCCTTCCCCGCACTACAGTTTTCCCACTCCTAAAAAAGCCCCAGTACTCCCCCAGGTAAGGTATTTTTTGAGCACTGGTCTCAGAGGGCTGTCAAAATCTGAATACATTTGAGAAAGACAAGTAGTAATATTACAAGCCTCGAGGGTTGATAAAAACTCCAATTGTCACTGTCTCATTCATAAGCCACACTGCCTTTATGTAAATAGCCTTGCCTTTGTTAATCTCTCCTGTCTAAACCAGCTCCAAAATGCTGGTAAAACAGAGATAAGAGGAGCATTTAAAAATATTTTTCATATTCAAGTTTGCAGAGAGAGGGGGGAGAAAAGGAGGGGGCAGCAGAAGAATACCACACAGCTCAGCTTTCTCCTGTGAATTGCCTTCGAGTGCCAAGAGGGGAAAGCACCAGAGTCCTCTGTACTGGTCCCCAAACCCCAGGAAGAGCCTGGGAAGGGAGGGGGGCTGATGCAGGAGCCCCCCAGCAGTGGGAAGGTGCCCCTGGGTGCTCCATCTGTGCCGCAGCCCACAAGCACTGCCATCCAGGAGATGAGGAGGAACTGCAAGTATTTTTCCACAGAATGTTTTAATATAAACTATCGGCTCCCGAACACTCAAACAAAAAACTTTTTGGAGCTAAATGCCGAGACCTCAAACGTCTCATAACTGCTGCTGATCGGAGCCAGAGCAGGGAGGCTGCCCCAGGGAAATATTTGGTTTATTTTTCTTTGGTGCTCTGGTCCTTGCCGCAGGACATGTAGGCACATGGGTAGCTGAGCACCAGCAGCCATCCCAGGCGGCTCCGAGACTTCAAATAAAAAAGGATTTAAGCCCCTGCCTTCCTCATGCCCAGGGTTGTGTCTGTTGTAACTGTGAGCTGACCTACTTGGTGTTTTTATACTAGAAGAAAATGTCACCATTTGAAGTGAACATATTTTATATGTTAAGAGCAGCCATACATAAATCAGGGGTGGGACTGGCACAGTCTTGGCTCTCGTGGGGTATTTAGTCTTGTATTTACATATCTCTAATTTTTTAAGGTGAAAATGTAAAGCATATTAGCTACCCCACACCAGTAACTGATGAACATTTTTGTTAATCCAGAATAATCATACAGTTATAGTGGTATTGCTTTCAAAATACTGTAACTGTTACTGTTTCAGTGAATCATTTGCTCATTTGA